ATGGCCAGGATGACAAGGGTGCGCGTGGAGAGAGTGTAGACGTCCTACTTGTCCATCCATAGGTCACACACGTAGTGTTTATGCTCTGAAGAGAAACAAGTGCTGCTTGGTTGTTTATTTTGCATTAAACAAAGAATAAAGGGAGTCTTTATTACACTTTTAGCTCGGGAGCTCAATGTTCAGCTAAGACGAATTCTTGTGATTGGAGTTTTAAAAACCATTATTGGTTCCTTCCAAAAATGTTTGAGGACCCACTATGTGTCGTGTCTGGGATTGGGGGCCATGGGTGAGACGGAAATGAATAAGGCACCGTCCTGCCCTCAGGAACTCACAGTCTGAGCTGGCAAAAACACACTGGAAAGATAAATAATCAGAGTGCAAGATGGTCAGGCTAAGTCAAGGACCAACTGAGTGACTCAGAAAGCAAATGTGCAGGGCGCCTGGGTGGCTCAGTGGGTTAAGCCTTTGGCTCAGGTCATGGTCTCAGGGTCCTGGGATCGAGCCCTGCATCCAACTCTCTGCTCAGCGGGGAGCCTGCTTCCCCCTTTCTCTCTGCTTGCTTGTGATCTCTCTCTGTCAAATAAATAAATAAAATCTTAAAAAAAGAAAAAAAAGCAAATGTGTGGGGAATAAAGAAATCCAATCTCTGTGGACCAGATATTGGGGGAGGGGAGCTTCATGGGGGAGATGTGCTGTCTGTATCCTGTCAGGAGTGACAGCAAGAGACGTGTGTCGGGTTGGCCCGTGCGTCCCAGGGCCTCACACGGTGCCAGGAGCATTCAACAGACACGTTCAAATGCATGAATTAGATTGTCCCTGCGGTCAGTAGGACTCAGAGAGAAGGAAGAGAGAATTCCAGTGAGGTTCAGTGCTGGGCTTTAAGGAGTGATGTCTGTGGCAGTGAAAGAAGGTCGCTGGCTGGAAAAAGGGAAGGGAGGGTGTGGTATGGATCAGACCTGGGAGTCTAAGGCCTGGGGAGCCATGGGAAGGTTTGGAGCAAGACAGGACTACGCAGTGGGCAGGCTGGTGTGAGAGGTGGACTGGGTTGGCAAATCCTCCACACCAGGGAGACACTCAGCCTGTGTGAAGTGACAGAGTTCCAGTCATTTCATTCCCGCGGTTCCTCCGTTGCCACCTGCCTGGCAGATGGAGATGGGATTGGGGCAGTGATGGGAGGCTTGAGGAGGGGAAGGTGGAAACAGCGGAATAAAGGCAGCTGAGGGCTTAGAGAGCAAGATTCAGAGAACTGTTAGCAGTAGGGGGATGGGGTTGGTAAGCCAGCAGAGGTTGAACCAGCCGTGCATTCTCGTTGGAATGACTGTGTGCTCGAGTATCTCACCAATGCTGTCTTCCCTCCTCCACACCTCTCCTGGGATGCCTTCTCAGGTGGGAAGCCCTGGGCTGATGTTCAAGGACAGCTTCTAAAGCAGAGGGAAGGAAGATAATTGGGCTAAGATGGGGCCCTTACCAACATGCCTCCCAGGACGGGGGTGCTTCGTTCTCAAATTACGATGTCCTTATAGGCTGGCTTTCTTGCTGGCCTTGCCTTGCCTCCCCCGGTATCTCTACCTGATGCAATCTTCCACTAGGCTTTCAAAATTGGTGATTTTTCCTCCTTGGCGACAGCCCCAGACTGTCACATTGTGGAATTTTTGCAAGTCATTCACAGACGCTGCAAATGGGAAATGTCGTGCAGACACAAGCCTGGGAGTCCAGGCGTGGTACTCCTGTGTCAGCCTTTCTTTCCACCAGCCCCTCTGGCTGAAGCAAGGCAGGGCCTCACCTCCCTGCACCTTGATTTGCCCTTTTGGAAGTGGCTGGTGCTCACTCCCAGGGCTGGAGCCGCGCCGGGGACGAGATGAGTTCTGAGTAGGACGAGTCTAGAAGGTTCTGTGAATTCCTTGGAGGAAGGCCTTGTTGGAGATCTGGGTGAACTCTTATCTCTGGCAAGAGAGATAGCATTCAGACTTTAATTTTAATCTGAAAACTGTGCCAGGTGCATTACGAGCTTCTAGGCTATTGGTCTTAATGTATAGCCAGCACGTCTAGAAAGCCCTCTGTTAGAGAAGAAAGAAAAATGTGTCTGTGTTTCAGTGTTTCACATCTTCTCTTCTCTTCTCTTCTCTTTTGGAGTTGAACTTCTGAGAAAAAAAATATCTAACCCTTGTGGTTATGGAAGAGATTCCACGGCGGTGAAGTAAGGAGGGAAGTTCTGTGTGTCTGTGTGTGTTTTCCTGCACATAGCGGCCTAAGGGAGCTCATTAGCTAGCAGGGAGCTCTGAATGTGCACCAGGATGGGTTTCCCTGCTGCCCCCTGGCCCAAGTCCAGGAGCAGCTGGGAGGCAGGTCTCCCCTCACGTACACTCTGGTCTGACTCAGGGCTTCTCCCACCAGAGCACAGGATGGGCTTCGAATGTGCAGGCCCTAAGGGGACCATCCAGAAGGCCGAACCCCTGACCCTGCCCTGTGTGGGTCAACTCAGTACCTCACCCTGAACAGGGCGTGAGTGGGAGGGTAGAGACCAGCAGTCCAAGGCTGGAGCACAGGCTTGGAGTCCGAACTCAGTGTTCACCCTTGTTTACCTACTTACTGGCTGTGTGCATTTGGAGAAGTTGTGAAACCTCACCATATTTTCTCATTTTTCATCTGGAACATGGGCGTACCATCGGCCTGCTCATGGGCTGTCGTGGGAATGGAGGGAGCCCAGAACCGGCCCTGTAATGAATCTGTTGGTGTTTGATAAGTGAGGGCCATTGCGGGTTTTGTTATTCATAGAAGAGACAGGGCCCTGTGTTTGGGGCCAGAGGGAGGAAGCCTTCAAGGTCCATCGAGTGGGGAAAGAGTGTATTTTGTTGAATGAATGAATGAAGGAATCAATGAATGAGGTGAATTTGAGCCTGACTGAATGGGAAGGCATTGCTTCCGTGGAAGGAGAGAATGAGACATTCCATTTTGGAGGAACGACCCTGACGACTTTTCTAAGGCTTTGGAGAGAACAAGTCCCTCTCTGGACCTCTCCTGAGCCACACAGGTGCCCAGACAGACTCACACTCCCACGTACAGACACACAGACCCACACAGACACACAGAGGCAGTGAGTCGGTGGAAGAACAAGGACAAGGACACCTTGCTCTAGCACTTTCTCTTCTCTAAACCTCATTTCCCACATCCTTGAGCCCACCTGGCTCCCCCACGTCACTGTCCTATTTCTGCGGAAGAGATGCCACCTTGCACCGAGACAAGGGTACGTGGGTAGGTCTGCTGCGTCCCCTGTCCCACGCTGGTAGCTGGGGTGCTGAGGGTCACTTTTACATCTCTGCTCAGTGATCCTACACTGCTGCCCCATGGCAGCTGGCAGGGGGGGTGGGGGTGGGGGGTGGGGAGTTGCGTGGCGGGAGGAGGATCGGAATTTAATAAAGGTGGCCCCAGCTGCCTGCCTCATGGAGTCCCAGGGCGGGTGCCTCAGCAGGAACTTTCCTTCTGGCCATTATGCATTACCCGCTGGAATTCTAGCCCCGCCTCCTGAGGTGGGAAGAGACAGGAGGGGGCTGGTGCAAAGGCCAGTCTGGAGCTCAGACCCTTTCTTGGCTCACCCCTGTCCACGTGTCTTGGTGGCACAGGTCCCGTGGCCTGAATGGAGGCTGTAAATGATCCAGGATCTACATTGGCAAACACTGCCCTGCCCCTGGCGCTTTCCTTCTTCTCTGCGTGGAAGGGAACCAGTGCCAAATGCCATCACTCCCAGCCCACATACTTTCCACTGCCTTGCGGGGATGCTGAAGCAGGGCCTGGCTTTACACCCTGAAGCTGGAGTGAGGAGACATGAATCCCCGGGCACCCAAATAATGGTTCTGTTCAAGCTTGTGGTTCATTTGCATCCTGGCTGGACAGGGGCTCAGGCACTTGGGTTGCCAGGATCCTGTGCTCGGCGGCCCCCTGCCTCTCTCCCTGGCCCGGCTCAGAGGGCTCCTCACCCTGCGCTCCCTGCCTCCAGGTGGTTCTCGGGAGTAATTAGAATCAGGCAGTTCTCTTACCTGGAAGACGGGATGGCAATAGCTCCGAACCACCCAGTTTTGTTCGTTGAGGATTAAGTTAGAGAATGCACGTAGAACACTCCTTGTGGGCCTCACACGTGGACACAGATGCTATTATATTGCAGTTAACCAGACCTGAGTATAGTTTTGGGGCTGGGGACCGTGAGGGGACTGGAGGCACAGGGGGCGTCAGTTATGACCGGCTGTGGCCACCTCCCTAAGTAATCTGGGCTTTATTATACAGTTAAGGGACAAGATCACTCTGCTAAAAAAGACCTCTGGTGGCTGGCCCTGTAGTCAATGGGTGGAAGAGGGAGATGGAGGCAGGGACCCAGGGAGCCTGGCAAGAGCTGGTAGTGGTCCCATAGGACAGGGGCAGAAATCGGAGGGGCTGGAACGGAGAGATTCAGGAGGGAGTTCCTGTAGTGTTTGGGGGCAGATTGGGTGAGCATAGGAACTACTAACTCCGGGTAGCCCCCCATTCCTCTCATCCAACTTGCCCCCCCCACAGGCCCCCTGTCCTTCTATCAAATCCTTGGGCCTCTGGGGTAAGCATAAGGCAGGGACCTTGCAGCTCAGTGCCAATCTTACTGAAAGCTTAGTGGGGAGACCGACATGTAAAGGCACACATGCGCGCACAGACATGCTTTGGAGTAAAATACAAAATACAAAATCCCAATTGTTTTTAATATAGAACTTGAGAATTCAAAGAGAACACGTTCTCTGTTCCACATTTATTTTGAGAACCCACGGATGGAGGCTGCCGCACTGTGCTGTCTGGGCTTTTTGGAGGCTGTAGGAGAAGCTGCTGGGGTCCTGCGGGCCTCTTCTCTGACTGCTCCTGGGCCACTCCTGCCACCCCTCCACACCGCCCCCACTGCCCTGCAGGACCTGAGGCCAGCTGCCACCTCCCCATGGCCAGACCAGGCAAGTAACTCCTCTGCTTCTGTGCCTTGTCCCTTCCAGAACCTGAACATCCAGGTGGAGGACATCCGGATCCGAGCCATCCTGTCGGCCTACCGCAGGCGCATGCCCGTGACAGAGGGCTATGTGGAGGTGAAGGACGGAAAGACCTGGAAGCAGATCTGTGACAAGCACTGGACAGCCAAGAATTCCCGAGTGGTCTGCGGCATGTTCGGCTTCCCCGGGGAGAAGACATACAATACCAAAGTGTACAAGTAAGGGCACCCCGCCCCCCAACAAAGGAGAGTCCTTCCTGCCCCATGTCGTGGCAGACACACTGCGCTTGCCAAAGTGTGATGAAGGTCGGTGAGAGCAGAGATGAAGTTCAAGGTGCTCCAGCCTGGAGAAATCCTGCCTGTCGGGATAGACGGTCCTCACAGTGACAACAGGGGTCGAACAAGGACAGTACTAGCCAGGCCAGGAGCAGGGCAACGCCAACTTCAGGAGACATGTCCACTTTTCCTCAGCAAGTGATTATTCAGAGAATAATCTGGGCCTCTCAGCAACTGTCAGGAAATTAAAAAATGGTTGATTTGACTCAGTTACACCCATCCTGGTTAAACCTTACAGTGCTGGTGTGGTTTCCAAAGTTAGCATCTCCCTGGGGGGCAGAGGGGTGAGATACCAAGGAGACTCAGAGTAACCTGCCCCGAGGGGTGTCCCGTGAAGGGATTCGGCCCCCTGACAGGCTGGCCGCTGGAGTACCTTGGTTGACAGTGGGGTCTTCCTCATTATTAATGAGGTCTGTTTATTACTAATGGTAACGACGGTCTGTTTCTGACCATCTGTGGGTTGGGCTCTGCTCCTAGCCCCGAACCCTCACAGCACCAGGAAGTAGGGTCAAAGAAAGTCGGAACTAGGGTCCGAACACAGGTCTCCAGCTTCTGGGTCTGCACTCCTAGAGAGTGTAGACTCACAACACTGCCTCTCTCCGTTCAAACCAAGGGCAGGGAATTTCGAAGTCAGAAGACGTGGGTTCCAAGCCAGGCTCTACTTCCAGATCTCTGGGATCAGGGCCGGCTGCATCCCTCCGTGGGCTTGGCCCCACGCCTTTGGTTAGAGCCCCAGTCGGCTGCAGGGGTGAGCGTGGGCAGCCAGGAAGGCTCACAACACCCCTGTGGATGACTGCAGTGTTGATTCCCACCCCCCACCCCCTCCACCCCCCCGCAGCCAGCATACGGCCCAGAGCTTCCTGGTAGCCCAGGGCAGCTGGGAGGCGGAGTGATCTCAGGCCTCTGAGTCTCTGGTCAGCTCCTGCCAGCTGGTCGGCTCCTTCCCTAGGGACACCTTCTCAGCTTTTCCGACCCACTGGAGCCAAGAAAAGCAAACCCCTCCCCTGGCTGGCCCCACCACAGCCCCTAGCCCAGTCCTAGGAGTGGGAAGGCTGCCATCAGACCAAGGCCAGGCCGCACATGCCTTGTACAGAGAGCATTTGAAAGCCATCTCCCCAGCTGAGGACGGTCCTGAGTCCCCTTCCTCAGATCTGCGTTTGGTGGCTGTGCCCCGGGCGATCCTCTCAAGGGCCGGGTTGGAAGCCGTCTCCTTGCTCCTCCCACCCCTGTGTCGGGCTTCCCTGTTCAAACTGGGACAGGAAGAGGCCCCAAGCGCTGGGAGGCATCCAAGGCCACGGCAGAGGGTGGTGTTCTCAGCCAAGCTGTGAGATGATTAAGGACGCTGCTGATTCCCGACCTCTAGCCGGAGAGGGCAGGAGGGCGGGCACTAAAGCTTGTAGGCGTGTTTCCTGTTAGCCTTTGAGACTCAGCTGACAGCTGGGTCCCCAGAGAGAAAGGCACACTGGGAAGTTTCTGCCTCAGTGCTGCTGTTGGGACTGTGATAGCAGCTGGTTGGAGGAAGCTGTTAGTGACGAACGGGGACTCCCAGGGCATGCAACAGCCTCAGACATCACCTGGTCCGAGTCCTCAGTCCACAGAGAAGGAGATGCAGGCCTGCAGGTCAGGGCACTGGGGGTCACAGAGTCTAGGACACTGCGGAATCCAGGTGTGTTCTCGACACTGCTGCTGCCCCTCCAGCCCCAGGCTCCTGCTCTGCTCGACCCCAGAGGCAGGGCCTGGCTACAGGGCACAGGCCCCCACCAGGGGTGGGCGGCTGTTAAGTCTGGGAGCTGGGCAGGGCTGGCCTGGGACAGGGGTCTGGGAGCTGTACTGAGAGGCTATGGACAGCAGAGGCCTGGGAGCCGAGTGAGGGCCACCCTGTATGGTCCCTGAGTCTGCGCCTTCCAGCAGCCTCCTTCCCCAGCCCTTGCCACAGCCTGTCCCTGCTGTTGCTGACGTCCATCAGTCCCAGGGAGGCCCTTCACCCTGGGAAGAAGATCGTTCTCAAAGTGATTCTGTCTAGAGTGGGGTTAGCCATCTCCACTCAGTCCGAAGGAGCTTTACAGCCTTAGACATTTACCTGGGTGGTGCCTGAGGCCTCTCCCCCTTTGCTCTGTCTGCCAACTGGTGTGTTTGGTGGCCACTGAAGGGCCTCGGTCATCCCCAGGGCCAGGGCCACAGCTCTTCATCAGAGCCTCCCAGCTTGCCACCCTCCGCCCTCCAGGTGGTTCCTGCATGTCCCTCAGAGTCCTTGTGCCCTCTGGGTTGCCGGGAGTGGAGTCAGCTGCTTTGTCATGAGCGGACTTCTGCTCTGGCCCCGGGGAACCATGAATGCTCCTTGAAGCTAATCAGACTGAAGCTTCAGGGCCCTTTCTTGGAGTCAGGAGCATTTTGTGGTCTTTTTTTTTTTTTTTCTTAGAGCAGGACCCCAGTGTTGACGCTGATTTATTGATACGAGCTCACGAAGCTGAGATTCTGCCTCTAATGTTGCCTCTCGGGAGTTAGGGAAAACTTTAACTATGTGGTTAGTTGGCTGAGACTAGGACCAAAATGTGGCCCACGGTGAGCGAAATGGACATGCCAGCTCTCCTTGGTTTCACGCAGAGGAAAGGATTCAAAGACTTACAGAGACTGGAACATTGGAGTGCACTTGTCATCTGAGCCCTCACCCACCCTGGGAGGGTCCAGAAGACACACTTTCCCTAGGACTGAGGAATACATCTGTGTGGGAAACCCTGGGGTTCTTAAGAACTCCCGGGGAGCTCTTCTCTACAGGCCATACCTCCCCATAACTGCGGAGTGGGGGTGAGTGTGACTGGATCCCAGGGTGGACAGGCCAGGTGACAGCACTCAGCCTCCCCAGTCCAGGTGAGCGTGGTTCCCGAATGACATCATCTTGACCCCTACAGACCCATAGTGTGGGCTGGTTGGTCATGGTGTTCCTAGAAGCAATGGATAGGAAGCCTACTGAATTCTTACTCGTTCTAGATGACAGAAACTCTAGGAGAGAGAAGAAAAATGGAACATGGGTCATAAAAACAGAGAGTCGCACCCCTCCCCCAAGTTCCAGACCTGAGCCAGCTTACAGACCCAGGACCCCTTGAGTGGATGGGAGGCCAGGTCCTCTTGAAGAAGGACCCCAGTTAATCGATTACCCAGCCTTTCCCAAAGGGACCAATGGCCTCTTACCAAAAGGTGCACCAGGGAAGAGGAAATAACCAGAACTTTAGCATGACTGGACACGGGCTCTGAATGACACTGCTTCCAGGAGACCCACGGGTCACTTTGGCTCTCCAGTCAGAGGAGGGGCTCCTGGAGGTCAGGTGATCAATGGAGTTTTAGTTCGGGCCCGTCTCACAGTGGGCCCAGTGGGTCCCTGAGCCCATCTTGTGGTTATTTCCCGAATTCTGGAATTCATCCTTGGAACAGGCATACACAGTAGCTGGCAGGATCCCTAAAAAATCTGGCTTTTCCCTTGGCTGGGGAAGAGCCAGGAGGACTTTTCATTTTCAGGTCAACAGCCCCGCCGAGGGTTCATAGGCCTAGACACCCCTTTCTCCAGCAGGCTGCCCCCCGGGCCCAAAGCTGCCCCTCACTCCAAACAGGAGACCTGGCGCGGGCTGTCCACCCATCCTCCCCAGGATTTGCCTCGAGTCTGCACCCCACACCCCACCCCGGGCCTGGCCCTGGCGCTGGTGACTCGCTGAGTGACTGAGTGGGGGAGGGGAACCGCTGCCTGCGTAGTGGAGGCCTGTGGAGGGCCCCGGTGCATTCCTGTGAGCTGATGTGAGAGGGAAGCGGGGCTGTCTGGGAAAAGCAGGAGCAGATCTGTGTTTGCTGTTGGCCCTGTGGTCTTTACTGAGCTCAGTACATCTCTTGCTGAGTGAGGGCGCTGTTCACTGAACCCTGGAAGCAAGAGGATGTTTTAGGCCTTGCGCAGTTGGTCTCCCCCTAGTGGGTTTGCTCACCTAACATGGAGGTGGCCAGAGGAACAAGCGGGAGACAGTCCTCAAGGGTGGTCTCCAGTCCGAGGTAGGGGTGTCATGGGGAACAAGCTGGAGGTTGTGATTCCAAAGGCAGCAGCCTTGTATGCACGAAGTGGGAAGGGGCCACAGTGCTTGGAAATTTCCCAGGAGAGTCCTTTTTTCAAAGATTCTGTCATTGGGCACACAGGTACACTAGAACTATTACCCGTCGAAATTTTGGGTTAAGAAAAAATATCGGCGGTGTCTGTAGGCTGTTCACATCCCTTCACTCCTTAAAAAAGTGGAAACTCCCAGGCCTCCCCTCCCTGCAGAAACAGGACCCCCTCTTCTGCCGTGCCCTGGGCCAGCCTGTCCCGGGAGGCCCCTCCCCTGGGCAGCTGGCAGCAATGCTGTGGGTCTGTCTGGCTGTGTATGGTTCTGCCAAGCAGGGACAAGCACACAGACCCCCAGAGAGCTGGGACAGCATTGAGGAGAGGACAGAGGACACCCTGTGACACCCTCCTTTGCAAATCCCACCATCATTCAGAGCCTGGCTCAAATCCTGCTCCTCCCTGAGAACGTGTTTCAGGACGGCAACCCTGGGGAGCCCTACCTTCTCGTATCCCCGTTGTTTCTCCTTTAACAAGATAGTTGTCAGTGCTTTTACAGACACAGACGAAGCCCTTCCTGTGTGTGGTTTTAATTGCTTCACAGGTGGTATAAGCAGTCTTACCAAGGAGATCCCATTCGCTTCTCATTTGGAGAGGGGGAAACTGAGGCACAGTTACCTTTCTGTTGACCAGCTCCTTATTTATCAGTTGGTTATTGTTTTAGAAAACACTTTGGCTCACCTTGACCTTCATTCTGCCTTCCAAAAACACATAAAAAGGAATACTTTATGCATAATACAGGCTAAGACCTTCCCTTAGGCAATTCTCCAGGGAAACCATCAGCCTCACTAGCTCCCATGTGAAGATTTGATAAGGTCCGTGGCTGAGTTTCATGACCATTTTCATTTCCGACAAGTTATGCTTTGATTCAGCCCGTGGGGTGATTTAAGACTGTTCTCGTTCATTGCTTCTTATTGGATCCACACCTTTGATCTTGTGTGTCACTGGGAGAGAATTTAACACTCAGCTCGTTCTGCCCGTTGACACGGGCAAGAAACCCCAACTGACTGTGTGGAAATTTTCTGAAGAGTTTAGGTGAGCAACCGTTCTTGTTTGTCTGGGACTGAGGGTTTCCTGGGACCCGGGATCTTACCTCATTTAAATCCCTGCGTTTTGTGTTTATAGGCTTTAGTGTTATCTCGCTCCTGAGTCTTTCCTCTCCTAGCACCTAGGCTGCCTGGGGGAAGGAGGCCACGTCCGCCCTTCCAGGTCCTGCTCCCCAGCGCCCAGCATGGTGCCCCGCACGGCTGAGGTGCTCAGCGAGTGCTCGACAGTCAGCGAGGCTGAGGTCCAGGTGCATGGACTGTGCCCGTTTCATTCCCTACCAGATCCCCAGAAGCCAGCACAGCAGCTGGCCCCGTGCCCACTCCCCGGTCGTGGAAGGAACGAGGCGGGTGGGTGCCATGATGCCCTGGTCAGGCGGCCCGTCTCGCCCCCGCAGGATGTTTGCCGCCCGGAAGAAACAGCGCTACTGGCCGTTCTCCATGGACTGCACGGGCACGGAGGCCCACATCTCCAGCTGCAAGCTCGGCCCGCAGGTGTTGCTGGACCCCGTGAAGAATGTCACCTGTGAGAATGGGCTGCCGGCTGTGGTGAGCTGTGTGCCTGGCCAGGTCTTCAGCCCTGACGGGCCCTCGAGATTCCGGAAAGCCTACAAGCCAGAGGTGAGGACAAGGCCAGAGGTCTGGCTCCTTGGGTGGGGGGGATGCAGGCCAGGGAGCGGAGGACCCCCCCCCCCCCGCCCAGGAAAGAATAAGGAGAGCTGGCCCCAGCTTAGACCACTTGCCTACAGGGCAGGAACATAGTGGGACCCCTGTCCGGGCCGGCCCCGCCCATAGATGCCACCTCTAGAGTGTGACGTGCCGCAGGGCCCCAGCCCCAAATGCTCAGCACCCCTACCTGGACTTCCACCATTGCTCCTCCACTCTGAGACCAGAGTCCTCTACGTGCAGGACAGATACCAAGGAGAGGAAAGCACTTCCTATCCACTGTCATGGGCTCTGTGCGCTGCCTTCTGGCCAGGCTTGAAAGGCAGGGGCAGGGGAGTCCTGCTCAATTCCCAGAGGACAGGAGTATTGGTGGGGGTGGGAAAGTCAGCATAATTCTCAAAAGCACCTGAACTCCGCTACAAGTGTTTCCGAGCGTGTTTTGTTCTGCAACAGAAAGTGTAAAGATTTTTAAAAGCGTTCACCAAGACAGACAAGGAAAACCTGCCATTCATGTCTGTGTCACTCGTAGCCCTCAGTCACGTTCTGAGTGTGCAAGCAGCACCTGTGTGTGCACACGCGTGTTCACATATGTGTGTTCACGTGTAAGTGTGTTCTCACATGTGCGTGTGCACACATGTTCACTGTGTGCGTATGAGTGCGCTCAAGATATGTCGGTGTACATCTGCTCACATAAATGACAGCCCCGTTTTGAGTGTCTGGTTTCTTAGGACAGGTGAACTGTCCCGACCACGGCAGTCTTGACGCAGCCTCTAAGACAGGGGACGTGTGCTCCTCTATCTTCCTTGAAAATCATACCCTTCCTTTTTTTCTACATCCACCAAAGGTTCTCTGAGATGTGCATGTTCTGGAAACTGCTCACAGGGGACTGGGGGATGGCAATAGCACGGGAGGAGGAGAAGGAGGGTAGGAAGGGTGGCCGCTCATTTATTAAGGAGCGGTTCCCTGTGCCAGATAAAACCTCCACGCTCACACCAGCAGGTGAACTCTGATCATGTCACCAGTAAGAGGAAGGGGAAAGGTCATGATGGGGATAGACAGTGTGTCAGCTGGATCCAGGCCATGGGATGGGAGAAGCCGCCCCTTCCCAGTCTCAAACAGCCTCATTCTGTGTCTCTTTCCCCTCTCCCTGTCTCTCCCATCTTTCCCCTCTGCCACCTCCTCTCCCCGTCAACATCTAAGGACCTGCTCTTGGGAAGGGGGTGGTAACCCTCATCCAAAGGAAGAGGGAAGCCTGGGCGGGAGGCAGATAAACCAGTTGGGTGCCCCTTCCCAGGTGGGGGGCGGTGTGTTCGCACCAAAGAAGAAGTCTTCAGTGAAAAGAGTGAAACAAATATTGTGAGCCCGGCCATCAACTGTTTGGAGTGCCTTCCTGACGCTCCCAGCAGCCGGCTGTCCCCGCCGCCTCAGTCTCCCGGGGGCCTCCAAAATACACAGGTCCCCCACACAGCACACGCATGCGGCCAGGCAACACAGGCAGACCCCCGGCAGTGCCACACCCCTGCCCGCATCCCCCCCACACCCTCGCTTGCCCCCCGCCCCTGCCACACGATGTGATGGCCACATCCTTCCTACAGCCTCAGCCTCAGCCTCCAAGCTTTTCTCATGGGTCATCCAGAATTCCAGACCCTACTGTTTTGGAATTCCTTTTGCTGTGTGGTTTAAAGCAAAGGAATCAAGTTCATGCCAAAGGAATTTAGAAAAAAAAAGGGGGGGAGGAGTGAGTCTTACATCACATTTTCCCTTGGTTTCTTTCTTTCCTCCGGGCCCAGCTGACTCTGCATGGTCACTGCCAGGCTGGGGCGAGGTTCTTGGGCAGTCTGCCTCCATCAGGCTAGAGGAATACAGGGTCTGCCCCATCATAAATGAGCAGCCACCTCCTGTCCTCCCCCCTCCTCTTCCCATGTGCTGTTCCCACCCACCAGCCCATATGAGCAGTTTCCAGAACATGGGAGCTACAGCTGCCCGACCTAGACAGCTTGGGCCGGCTGGTGGGGGGAGAGGGCACTGCTCCACGGCAAACAGGCTGCAGCCGGCAGAGTCTGGTTTGTTCTCTAAAGCTCGAAGGTTCCGGGTGTTTGGCACACACCCCTGTGCCTCTTCTCTTGCTAGTGCCTGGTTCAGAGCAGTCCCCATGGTCTGTAAGCCTGGGGGCTATCACTGCGCCCTGCCCTGCCACGGCAGCCACAAGGCACCACTAGTGGGAGAGAGCCATGTGGCTGAGCGGGAACCTCGGCTAGAGGATAGACATGCGGGTTCTGGTCTGAGCACTGGTGGAGAGTGGCTCTTATGCCCACGTGATTAAATGAACCCCGTGTTCCATCCGGTTTCCAAGCTGTCAGTGAGCACTTAGGGGCGTTTAAACCATAAGCACCCAGGAAAAATGTCAAATGGAAAAAAGACAGTCTCTTCAACAAATGCTGTTGGGAAAATTGGACATCCACATGCAGAAGAATGAAACTGGACCATTTCCTTACACCACAAACAAAAATAGACTCAAAATGAATGAAAGACCTGATGTGAGGCAGGAGTCCATCAAAATCCTTGAGGAGAACACAGGCAGCAACCTCTTTGACCTCAGCCACAGCAACTTCTTCCTAGGAACATCGCCAAAGGCAAGGCAAGCAAGGGCAAAAATGAACTATTGGGACTTCATCAAGATCAAAAGCTTTTGCACAGCAAAGGAAACAGTCAACAAAACCAAAAGACAACTGACAGAATGGGAGAAGATATTTGCAAATGACATATCAGATAAAGGGCTAGTATCCAAAATCTATGAAGAATTTATCAAACTCAATACCCAAAGAACAAAAAATCCAATCAAGAAATGGGCAGAGGACATGAACAGACATTTCTGCAAAGAAGACATCCAGATGGCCAACAGACCCATGAAAAAGTGCTCCACATCACTCATCATCAGGGAGTTACAAATCAAAACCACAGTGAGATACCACCTCACACCAGTCAGAATGGCTAAAAATAACAAGACAGGAAACGACAGGTTCTGGCGAGGATGTGGAGAAAGGGGAACCCTCCTACACTGTTGGTGGGAATGCAAGCTGGTGCAGCCGCTCTGGAAAACAGTATGGAGGTTCTTCAAAAAGTTGAAAATAGAACTACTCTACAACCCAGCAATTGCACTACTGGGTATTTACCCTAAAGATATAAATGTAGGGATCCGAGGGGCACATGCACCTGAATGTTTATAGCAGCAATGTCCACAATAGCCAAACTATGGAAAGAACATAGATGTCCATCAACAGGTGAATGGATAAAGATGTGGTGTGTGTGTGTATGTATACATATATATGTATATATACATATATACATATGTGTATATATGTATACACTGTGTGTATACGTATATATGTATACACACAGTGTATACATATATACGTATACACACACATGGTGGAATACTATGCAGCCATCAAAAGAAATGAACTCTTGCCATTTGCAACGACATGGATAGAACTAGAGGGTATCATGCTTAGCGAAATAAGTCAATCAGAGAAAGACAACTATCATATGATCTCTCTGATATGAGGAATTTGAGAGGCAGGGCGGGGAGTCGTGGGGTGTAGGGAGGGAAAAAATAAAACAAGATGGGACTGGGGAGGGAGTCAAACCATAAAGACTCTTAATCTCAGGAAACAAACTGAGGGTTGCTGAGGGGTGAGGCAGTAGGGATAGGGTGGCTGGGGGATGGACATTGGGGAGTTTATGTGCTATGGTGAGTGCTATGAATTGTGTAAGCCTGATGATGCATGGACCTGTACCCCTGGGGCAAATAATACATTCTATGTTAATAAAAAAAAAATAAATAAGCTGTAAGCACCCACCCTCTCTGCGCACCTAGGGGGGCTGCCTCTTCTGAAGAGCCGGGCTGATTTGGACCTGGGGTAGAATCAGAGGTAGCGGTAGCGGGAAGTGCAGCACAAGGACACACGGCAGGCTCCCCACCCTCGCACGGTGTCCACTGTCTCAGTCTCCCACCTTCTTGGTTAGGTGCCCGCACAGGCTCAGCTCCCAGCTGAGGCACCTCGCTGCGGAGGGGGGAGACAGGGAAGGGAGGGGGTTGGGCAGTGCCTGCCTGCAGAACGTGCTTCGGCTTTTGCACTCAGCAGGACCGTGTGTCTCTCCAGCAACCCCTGGTGCGGTTGAGAGGTGGTGCCAACATCGGGGAGGGCCGAGTGGAGGTGCTCAAGAACGGAGAATGGGGTACCGTCTGTGATGACAAGTGGGACCTGGTGTCTGCCAGCGTCGTCTGCAGAGAACTGGGCTTCGGGAGTGCCAAAGAGGCCATCACTGGCTCCCAGCTGGGGCAAGGTAAGGACTGGGGAGGCATTCAAGGGTCTCTCTATGGGGAGCATGGCACAGGGAGCGGAGCCCCAGCAGGCTGGCTTCGGGCTTTTCAGGGTCTTCCTGCTTGGTCTCCTCCCTCCCGCAGCTGCCGCTCTGTTCGAAATTGTCAGGCCTCCGTAGTCAGAGCTGGAAGGGAACTTAGAGCCCCGAACCCCCCATTTTATGAATTTGGAAGCTGAGACCCAGAGTAAGAAGTGAGTAACCAAGATCAGACAACATTATTAGCAGCCTATGAAGACTTTAATGGAGGTCTCCCAGCTCGCAACCCAGTGCTCCCCATTGTCCCACCGAGAAAGCTGGAATTCTCAGGCCCTTCCTCTAGGACAGGATCTCAGAATTCCTCTGGCCGTGGCCCACCCCAGGCACACAAGAATCTCCACACAAGAATCTCAAAAGTCATCTCACTTTCCCACTATAGCATAGCCCCACAAACATTCTCTCCCTGCCACCAGAGACTGGGAACAGGATGCCCCGCTTTGGATGTCACGTGATGCTAATGAGAAGGGGCCTGGTTCTTATTAAGTGTCCCGAACAAATCTTTCATCTAAGCAGAGAACAAAAGTATAAGAGGCTTTCAAGCAGGTCATTTCGTTGAGAACAGTGATGCGAACGTGACATGAGGACATGACAGATAGCTTCCCTTTCTGACGAGGGTGGGGCATCCTGTCCTGTGGGAAGATGTTTCCATACTGCCGGACAAGGGCCATCGCCCCGCAGAGAGGAATGTGGTGAGGTCATTGATCATAGGCTGGAGGAAGGAAAAGCCCAGTGGACTGGAGAGAGAGTCCTGGAATCAGAGACACCCTGCTGGGGAGGACCTCAGTTCATCTGATCCAACAGCCAAGGCCTAGAGGCGCGAGAGGACAAGCCTGTGGTCACCCCCATAATGAATGGTGGAGGAAATCTGAAACCCAAGTCATTAGCTCTCAGATTTGGGCTTCTCCTGGTATGTCCACCGTGGCCCAGTCCTGTGCACATTCAGAAAGACTTTCTATCCCCATTCTGCAATCCCACAAGCTTCCTGGGCATGCACAGAAGGTTAGGGATCTAGGTTGGCCTCTGACGTTGCCTTGTGCCACCTAGAAGTCTCAGTTATACCACAGGCCAGTCCTCTTCTCCCTGGTCATGGTGAGCTCTTTGGAGTTCCCCTGGATGGCAAATACCCCCACAGTCTGGGTCCCTGATTGGCTGATGTGTTGGCCTCTGCTTTCCCAAGGCCTGCGGGACAAAGCCCACTCATTCTGAGAAACAAATAAGCACTGGATGATGTAAGCATTCCATCTATTGTGGGCGTGTGCTATTTGACCTAGTTACTTCACTGCCCAGAGCAGCTGCAGGTTTCCAGGGACCTACCAAACTCTGGAAGAAACCGCTGGCATTTTTGATGCTGTCCTTGAAAGAACCACTGGGTGATTTATGATCTGCCACTACTCTGGGCAGGTCAACTCTGGTAGGCAGGAAGGGAAAAGTCCACAGTCAATGTCAAGTCACAGAGCAGATGGGGTCAGTTCAGTCCCGGCTCTGGCCGGTGGACTGAGCAACCACACCCATAGTTTGGGTGTGAAAGGCAAGGACTAAGAGGCCAGCAGTCTGAGCTGTGACCTTGAGCAAAACCCGGGGTTTCAGATTCTACACTGGAGTCATGGCTCCAGCCTCCTATGATTCTCCGGGACCTGCTCTTATCACCAGGTTGGAAGTCAGGTCGGAGTCAGACACTGTGCTTTGTTCCCTGGGACCCCCTGCACACATCTGGACTCCAACTGGCTGTTTCCACGGCCACCTCCTCCCAAGACCCAGTGCTGCACGAGTAGAGGGCCTGTGTCCTTTACCTCTGTATCCCTAATGCTGAGTCTGTACCCGACTCATAGTGCTCTAGGCTGTTCATTTTATGAAGAACACATGAATGAATGAATGAATGAATGAATTCCAGTTGCATAAGTAGGATCAGCTGAGTGAATGCTTGGTAAAGAAGTTTGAGACTCTGCACCTAAGCTGTCCAATAGAAATATAGCAGGAGCCACAGAAGTAATTTTAAATTGTCTTGTAGCCAAATAAATAAAAAGAAACAGGAAAAATTAATTTTAATAATATATTTCCCTTAGTCCACTATATCCCAAATATTATGATTTCGATATATAATCACCATCAGTGCTATTAACGAGATAGTGTACATTTCGCATACCAAGCCTTTGAACTCTAAGCTGTGCGTTACACTTAGAGAGCATCTCAGTGTGGACCGGCCATGGTCCACTTGCTCTGTGCGGTCAGTGGCTGTGTGGGTCAGGACAGCTTTAGAACAGTGGTTTCGAAAGCCCTTTGCCTGACATCCCCCAGCAGAAAATACACATAATGGGACAGGCCATGCACATAAAGCTGAAACAGAAGTTTCCGGAAACAGTGCTTACCTCTATGGCATGCAAAATGCCATGCTATGTCATACTATATTCTACTAGGCTCTTAAAAATGTGACTGTGACCTGAAGAGTTGACTGGGGGTCTAGAGTCTGTGACATCGCTCTAGGGGGTTAGGCTTGTGCCCAGTGCTCTGCTTCGGCCACGGCCTGGGGTACCACCCCCCTCCAGCCCGGGGCCAAGGCTTGATACTTGGGGGAAGAATAGGGCCAAAGTGCAGGTGGGGAAGGCATCGTGAGGAGGAGCAATCCAGAGGTCAGTCCAGAACCAGGAGCAGGCGAAGGCTGGGAGTCAGGATGCCCACAGGCACTGCCGGCCATGGTCCTCCGTAGACCCAGGCCAGCGGCCTTCAGGGACGCCTTCCACCCTGCAGAACTGGGAGTTGCAGGAAGAGACTGAGAAACACGGGTGTTCCCATCTCTGTGCCGTGAGTGTGTCTACCTCAGGAACGTGGGGCCCACCCTCTGGAGCCCCATCCCCACGTGTCTGAGAACCCCGTGGGCATTTGTACAAGTGAGGCTGGAAGGAGACACCCAGTTGTTAACTGGAGTCTAGAGCACGTTAGGCTCTCGTCCAAACCTTTCCTCCCTGGCCAGTCCCGTAGACCAGTGATTCACAAGCGTTCACTGAGGACTGTTTGGGTTGGGCCCTGGAATGGAGAATTCATTTATTCCACAAACATTTATGGTAATGGTTTCTGCTTCCCTGGAGCTCGTGTCAAAGGGGGGAAACTAGAAATAGCCTCCCTCAAAGAGAACCTGCATTCAGAGGGGCCACGGGATATGAGATGGGATCCGGATACTCTACCATTTCCTGAGCCGCTGGTAACTGACCATCCTTGGTGTCTGTCATTCCTCCTCAACCCCACCCCGCCAGAGAGATGCATTATGGCCTTTGACAGATGAGGGAGCTAGGGCTCCAAAAGTGCCCGTCACTCCCCAAGGAGATGCAGGCTCCCTCCTCTAGTCTCTCCTCGCCTCCCAGGGAGAGGTGTGGACAGAAGCTGCAGGTGGGGGTGAACTGGTGTCTGGCAGAGTGGGGCCGAGGAAGGCTTTGAGATCCTTGGAGACGGGCTCTAGCTAGGTCAGCAAAAGGAGGTGTTGGAGGGGCCGAGAGAGAGCATCCCCAGATGAAGAACGCAGGTGCTCCCAAACGCTCCATGCTTTTGCACAGCAACCTTCCGCTCCTGTCCAGCACACGGGAGTTTTCTCATCAGGAGAGAATCCCATCGTGGAGCCAGACTGCCTGTTTTGCCTCCTGGCTCCTCCATTAGGCCCGTTACTTCATCATCAGCCCCCTGTTTCCTCATTGTACTGACTGGCAATGACTTGATGAGTTCTTGTACGCGATGTGTGTAGGACAGGAACCAGCACGTAGTAAGTGCTCAAGAAATACACGCCATCCTTCTGACAGTCGTCAAGCAAGCCCCACATCGGATACTCAGGTCCAAGGGTGCTGCCCGTCTCTGTGTCCACCCAATTCCCGGAGCTGGGGCCCCTGCTTGCCTCGAGGACCCTGTTCGGGGTCTGTGCTGTCACAGCCTCTGTGCTCTGAGACCTTGGATGCCTCCAGCTGTAGTCACTGTGTTTTAATCGATTGAGTTGGAAGCCTTATTGTTTGTGAATTGAATTTGTGAATTTGTGAATTTCTAAGGGAAGGGAAACTTGGCTCTCACTTGCTAACATAGGTTGCTCCTGGATGTTAATTTTGGCCTTGGTGAGCCTAGATACCGAGTGTCTCTGGAAACCTCTGCAACGGAGATCACAGAAGGAACACAGACATGATGTCTGCCCTTGTGGGGCCTCCAGCCCAGTAGGGAAGCAGACATGGAACAGAGGGGGCTCAGCTCAGACAGGAATCAGAAAGGCTTCTTGAAGAAAGTGGTCAAAGCTGAGCCCTGAAGGCTGAGTGAGAGTTAGCTGGTGAAGGGGCGAGGAAGATGGTCTGGACAGAGGGTACAGGCAGAGGAAAAGCTCAGCTCAGTCAAGCAGCCAAAGGAGAGGTGGTGGGACAGCGGAGGTGGGAGGAGCAGGCCGAGCCAGAAGGCTAAGTGAGAGGCCACATTGTGCCGAGCTGCCACCTGGGGACTGTGGATTTTACCCTTTGATGCAGTGAGAAGCCGTCCCAGGGACTTTAGATGGGGAGTGACTTGATGCAACAGGCATTAACAGCACTCTTGGGCTGCCCTGCGGCGAATATTTTGGAATGAACAGGCAGGATAGAGCCTAGAGGCTCTTACATTTATCCAAATGGGAGAAGACAGGGTGGGATGAGCGTTGTGATGGCAGAAATGCAGAGCACCCAGATTTAGCAGAGTACACAGGTGTGGTGATGGATTCCTTGTCAACCACAGAGAAAGAGGGAGTACCGGAGATGAGCTCTGGGTTCTGGTGAGAACATCGAACCGGACTTCCCAGGATGGAGACGGCTGGAAGAGAAGCAGGTGGGAGGTGGTCATTCTGCTGGCCGGGGAAGTAAAGGGGACAAAACAGCATTTCCAAGAAGTTCACTCTGATGGGGATGACAGTGACAGGTCGGGGTGTGGGGGGCGGGCAGTGCTTAGGGGAGGGCAGCTGTCAGATGGGGGGTGAGTCTCTGAGTGTTGAGGGGCAGGACCCGAGCGAGAGGAGGATGGTGGGTGAGGGTCAGGAGAGAGAGGTGATCCCAGGCAGGGCGGGGACCAAAGAGGGAGTCAGTGCAGCCCAGAGCTCCTGGAGAGAACTGGGCTTCCATCCACATTGATGGGCTAGACAGAGGGGAGGTAACCCTGTGAGCTGAGCTAAGTCGAGGATGGTCAGGTTGGGAATTCTCTCTCCCCAGCAGTGGGGGGCTCCCTGTGGTTATGTGGGTACATATGAGAGCAGTTGCCCTGCATGTTCACCATTGGTCACTTGCCACATCATTTGCTGTCTCTACCCCAGCAGCTCACCTGTCCACACTGCCAGTGCCCAGGGGGCACACTCAGGTGGTCGCAGCAGGGAGCACCAGCAGGAGACAGGCTGGGGAGAGGAGGGAGGCCAGGTGTCTCTTCTCCCTGCAGGGTCCCTGTGGGCCGCTGTGTCCCTCTTGGACCAGGAGTAATGAACTGCTCTTAACAGGTGGCCTTTCCACAGTTTCTTTGCTCTCCTGGGTCAGACACCTATCTTCCCCTCACTCCTGCAGGCCTAGGAGCCATTTCTGTGTCCCATTGTTAGCCTCTGAGTGTTGGATTGCCCATTGTGATTTTGTGATTTCCCTACACTCTGTCCATACCTTTATTATCTTCTCTTTTTTTAAAGATTTATTTATTTAGTTTAGAGAGCACGAGAGTATGCATGCACACGAGTGGGGTAGGGGCAGGGAGAGAGAGAGGGAGAGAATCCTCAAGCAGGCTCCCTACTGAGCGTGGCACCCAGTGCAGGGCTCGATTCTGGGACCCTGAGATCTTGAGCTGAAATCAAGAGTCGGACACGCTTAAAAAAAAAAAAAAAGTCAGACACAACTGAATGAGCCACCCAGGCACCCCTTACCTTTATTTTCAAAATCCCTTTTTCTAACTCTGTTCAAATCATCCAGTTTGATTGTGCTGTCACTTTCCTGTAGGGACTCTAATTCTGTAGGGCTAGTCACCCCTTCAGGTTCAAAACACATAGGGTATTAAAGTTGGAGAGGGACCTTAGGTGTCTTCTCATCCAACACTTTATCCCAGAAGAAAACCAATATTCAGAGAGGCTGAGTGCATTGGCCAGGGTCGTGCAGGAAGTTAGTGGCACATTTGATTTGCTTTCAGGGGAGAAGTGAATCCCAAGACAAGAAGCAATTTTCTCCGCGGAGAGGAGGCCTGGAGCCTGAGCTGATGATGGGACGCAACTGGAAGAGTTTGAGGATGGGACAAACATGTCCTTCCTGTCTAGGACTTTCTTGCACATTCCAGAAACTTTCCTTTGGAAGCTGTCACTAGTACATGCTTTTTTTCCTCCCGCAGGGATAGGACCCATCCACCTCAACGAAATTGAGTGCACCGGGAATGAGAAGTCCATCATAGACTGCAAATTCAATGCCGAGTCTCAAGGCTGCAACCACGAAGAAGATGCCGGCGTGAGATGTAACATCCCCGCCATGGGCTTCCAGAAGAAGGTGAGGGTCTGTGCTCTGTTTTGGTCACTGAGCCCCAGAAAGTCTGAGCCAAGTGGCCTCACACTCAAGGGTTCTCACAGGTGGAATTTGAGTGCTCTGAGGATGAGCTCAGAAAGGGCCAGGCTCCGCTGCTGTCACTATTAACAACTTTGTCGCCTTGCATTCATTAAGTGTGCCGAGGGAGAAAATGTATGGATAAGCACCCTGTTCCTCAGGGACAGATATCGGGCCCCTGCTGCATGCCACCCCCTGCACGGGGACTGGACATGTGGCGTGATCGCTAGTCCTTTCTGTAAGGGTCTCAAGGTCTGTAGCACCTCTGACACCCTTGGCATGGTACCTGTGCAAGGACCCAGGGCAACCACGTCGACAGCGGGTCTACAAGTTACACAAGGGTAAGCACAGTATAGACATTATTTTGGAACAGAAAAGTGTAGTTTGGTAACCAAAGGGAAAGACAGGGAAACCTTAACAACATTATACCGGAGACACACCTTTCCTCTCCTGAGGTAAGTGTCTAAAATCCTACATCAGCGTGTCTCCCGGCTTGGCTGGTTTTTCCCACAGGGCTAGCCAACAAGATGAATTCCTCTCAGTCTCCCCCATCCTCAGGAAAGGTCCAGTACGTTCTATTCATTGCTCTTCACTGTCCCACGTATTTGTTTGGGTCCCAGGCGTCACCTGCTACCTGGCTGGCCCATTGGAAGAGTTTCTTAAGTGCTTATTTTAAAAACGAGCAAATGCAGACACATCAGGGCACAAGATGGCTCTCCCGTTGGGTTCTTGCTTTGACCCTGATTCTTGACCTTGGCACCGGCATGCCAAACCGGTCAGCCACGACATGCATTTGGATCCAAAATGAGACCCCTACAGCCCTCAGCCAAGCTGTGAGTTTGCCTGTGGGTGAGTGGGAGCACGGGCCACAAGTCCATGGCTACGGGAGACACTTGCCATCTCCAGTCGTCTGGCAGCCTTGCAAGATAGCCGTACGGAGCTGTGGAAGGTGACATGCCCCGGTCCTAGTATGCCATGGCAGCCTGACCTTTAGGCTGATTGGAGGTGGGTGGGTGGAGTGGGGTTTTCAACCCAAATGAAAGACCTAGGCCAAAGAAAGTGATGTTTTCCAGATGCACTTTGTGGTTGGGATGGCTGAGCCAGGCCGTGCGCTCGGCGATGCCAGCGGGGACACTGCGCTCCCAGCACCAACCCTTGCACAGGCCCTCCAGGCTCCAGCAGGTGCTCCCTGAGCTCAAGCAGGAGGCCTGGGAGACTTTTACCCCGGCCTCCCATCCCCTGGGAAGGAAATGGGCAAGGTCCCCTGTAAAAGAAAGCCCCACAGGCCATATGGGTTGCCTCGGCCCCGCAGCAGGCCAGCCCGTCACATGGTGTGGCTCAGGGCTCCCAAGGGCACCGGCAGGTCTGCCAGACAGAACCGCCGAGACACTCAGCTGTTACCACGTCTTGGTTTGCTGGGGCCGCCATAACAAAACACCACGGACTGGGAGGCTTCGATGCTAAAAATGCTGGTCCTCACAACTGGAGCAGCTAGAAATCCAAGATCAAAGTGCTGGCCGGGCTGGTTCTTGCCGAGGCCTCTCTCCCCGGCTTGCGGATGGCCGCCTCCTCCTGTGTCCTCATGCGGCCTCAGTGTATGCAACCCCCGTGTCTCTTCCTCGTCTTAAAAGGGTGCCTGTCGTATTGCATTAGGGCCCACCCTTATGACGTCATTTAACGTAATTACCTCTTGAAACACCCTTTCTCCAAATACAGCCGTATTAATGGGTTGGGGCTGCAGCGCGGGAATTCCACGGGCACACGAGTCAGTTCGCCGTCACTCACTGGCCGATTCCTTCCATAATTCTTTGAGGCTTGAGTTTACTCCTCTGGAAAGAAGGACGTTGAGGGAGATGATTTCCCTGGCTTCTCTGCCACCCCTGTTCGGTAGGAAATTGACTTTTCTCTTGAATGGCTACTAGAGACCGCACACTTGGAAGCCGGTGGCTTTGGTCATCTGGCCCCAGCAAAGCCTCATTCCTCTTGCTGCTGGGAGGGGGCAGCCGAGCCCAGCAGGCTCTGGGAAGGGCAGGTGGGTTTCCCGGGTGACCACCCCTGCTGACCTCCGGTTCACCTCTGAGCTGCGGGCCTCCCCTGGCCCGGCCTGGTTAGCAAGACCAAGCCCATGTGAGGAATGTTGAGTTGGCAAGTGCCCGTGCTTCCTTTCAGGCTGACATCCGGGTCATGTTCCCTTGCCTCCTACCCCCTCACATCCCAAAATAGGTGTGGGACTGGTCAACCACAACCTTATCAAAACACAAGGCAGCCTTGCTGGATGGCACTGGCGGGAAGTGTTTTGCTTTCCCTGTTGGTGTTCAGGAGAACGTAGCTGCTTGTGCTCCGCGCCCTTCTTTCAGACCCCAGACTGCTGCCATCGAGAATCAAAGGAATAAGGAAAGGGGAGTGCCAGGGTTATTTTCAGAAACTCTGAGGACACTGGACCCTCCCTGGCACCCTCGCTGGCTGACCCGAGGCCTCTCGGGGTTCCTCCCATGCTGGTGAGGGCAGAACACCTCTACTGGCACATCCGGCTGGGGAATGCTGGGGCCTCAGAGTGGGGCCCGGGGCATGGAGAACAGTGTCCTGGGCCGTGTTAGAGCTCCATGGCTGGCCTCTGGTCTTCTCTAGAAAATGAGAAAAGGCCCCCAGTGCATCTTGAAACTCCCAGAGCTGTCCCTGGTCCCTGTCACTGACTGTTACAATAGTCCATAAGGCAAGGCACTGTCCACAAGGAACTCTAAAACAGTAACAAACCCGATTAAAAGTCATTCTGCTCTTAGCCTCACTGCCCACTGGCATTAGCCTCAGTGCTCACCTGGCCCACCGGACGGGTCCACTCCCATAGCCTCCACCTCCCCAGGGTGCACGGGCTTGGTGGGGGTGGCTGGAAACCACACCAGGGGAGGGGGATGGCCTGTGGCGACCTAGAGATGCCCCCAATGGGTTTAAACACACGCCCTGCCCAAGGTGCCGCCCTTTCCTTGGCATGTTAAAGCCCGGTAGCCTGCCTTCTGCTGTTCTGGGATTTTCTCAGTGGCTCTGCTCCTCTTACTTGTCTGTATTTTACATAGACCCAAAGATATGTTAGTCGTGGGTGAGGTACGATCCAGATCTAAGACCGTGTCCAGTGCCTACCTTCACCCGGGCTCTCAGCCCAGAAATGCTCAGAAGACAAACGCTGGCCTCCCAAAGGCCAGCCCTCTTCTTGCCTGCTCTGACCCCTTCTAGTTCTTCTGAAGAGAGTTTTGATTTCTGAAGGGACTCCACCCTAATAAAGATCATTACTAGGATACTGACTAATATTTCTTCTGAGCACTTAACGATGTGAGGATTTTCCATGAATTATCTTATTTAAATCTTCCTCTCCACAAGCCTGGGAGGTAGACCCGGCATCATGGCTGCCCTTGATTTGTCTGTTTGCCAGCTGACCTCACTGACCTTTGAAACCCCTAAAGAACTGGCAAGCCAACAGCCCAGTATATGAGGGTTTCTGGAGGCGTCATGCCTTGTCCCAAAGGAATGAATTGCTAGGCGTACAAAGGAAGCAGCGTAAGGTGTTTGGATGAAGGCGAGCATTTTTAGATCCCTTCCCCAATCTCCAGATCTGTCTGCTTGAGCTCACCTAAGCTGGTCCATGCTTTCAGTCCCTAAGACTGATCATTCATTCATTCTTTCCAAATGTATTGTTGGAGAACCTGACATTTGTGAGGTACCGTCTTAATTCTCAATCACACAGGAAACCGCACAAATACAGCTCTGCCCTTAGGAGCCTATACTCGCGTGGGGGAGACAGATGTTAAACAAATCGTGAGTTAGCTTAATTATAACTGTTGGAAGTGCTCAGAGGGAGACGTGTAGGGAGCAACGGAGTGTGTCCGTGGCCACGGACCCCAATGGAGGGAAGTGGCTCAGGGTGCGGACTCGGAAGAGTGAACAAGGATCAGCCGGGCAGAAGGGCACATATATGTCGTGGGCTTACACAGGGCTTACTGCGCGACTCGGTTGAGAGGTAGCCGTGGAAACCGGAGGAAGTCCTGCGTGCCTGGAGGTCATAGAACCGGATGGAAGCATGAGTGGCGGAGCAAGGGGAAGCCGCTACCATGCTCTGAGCCGGGAAGCGATACGAGCAGGGCCCTTTCAAAGCTGACGCTGACTTCTGACTAGACAAGAGGGTGATGAAGTCTAGAGCGGAGGCCGAGAGAAGGAGGGGGTCTGGCTCCGGCAGGGGATGATGGCGCTGAGACAAGAGGGTCCACGCAGAGCAAAGGGAAGCGATGAACTGGAAAGAGACTTTGGAGATAAAATCCACCGAGGAAGGTTCTGACCGGATGTTGCAGGAGAGAGAGAGAAGATGGTGTGGAGGATGGCTCCGGGATGGCTGGCTTGTATAACAGAGTCAACTGGGATCAGCAAAGGACAGCTTGCAGGCCAGACCTATCCCTCTGCCTGTTTTTGTCATTACAGTTTTACTGGGAAGACAGCCACGCTTGGCCACTGACCCATTAGCCCAGGCCGCTCTTAAGCTGTGCGGCAGAGCTGAGTGCTTATGACACGGAGCGCACAACCCATGAACCCTAAAACACCTCCCAGCCCTTTGCAGAAAGTGTGCTGCCCCTGGAGTAGACGGGAGTGCCTTTTGCTGCAATAGGGGAACAAGGAGGAGATAGAACACAGGTTTAGATGGAGATGGAGAAGACGCCATGTTCAGATTTGGGGTCTCCCTGAAACTGACACGTGGAACTGTGACAGCATTTGAACTGTCAAATAGGCGGCTGGTTACGGGGTCTCAGAAGGGAGTTCTGGTGGAGAGGACAGTGGGGATGGGGGCAGATGAGATTGGGAGCTGGAACCAGCCAAGCAGAGGGTGTGCTGATGACCAAAGAGCCTAGGAAGAAGTCTCAGGGAGTTCTAACATTTTTAATAATTTTAAGTTCTAACATTTTAAGTTCTAACATTTAAGTTGTAACACTGGCGCATCCTCCCGGGTGTCTGCTTCTAAGGGCAGCCCTCCCCAGGTGTCTCAGGGATGGCAGCAGGGAGCAGGGGCTGGTGCAGCGGTGGGGGTCAGTGCCCAGGCCTCTAAGGCCTTGGGCTGCCTGCAGGTCGGGACCTAATACACAAGCCTGCGCTGGGCACCATGCAGGCTCACAGCAGGCTCTCAGTGATGCTGTTGACTCTGACTGTGTCCCAGGCAGGAATTCCCGGCTTGGGGAAAGTTGAGACTGATGGCAATACGGTGGGGCAGCTCCCCTCCGTTCCATCTGGTGACTTTGCCTTTCTTTCTGTCCACAGCTGCGCCTGAACGGGGGCCGGAACCCCTACGAGGGCCGTGTGGAGGTGCTAGTGGAGAGGAACGGGTCCCTCGTATGGGGGACGGTGTGTGGCGAGAACTGGGGCATTGTGGAGGCCATGGTGGTCTGCCGGCAGCTGGGCCTGGGGTTTGCCAGCAATGCCTTCCAGGTGAGAAGCCCCCACCTCAGCCCCTTCCATCCGGTGTGACCCTCACCCTCGCAGTCAGGACCTGCTTTCCATGCACCTTCCCCAGCTGCCCGGGAGGTGGACAGCAAAATGCCCTGAGCTGGGGGGAGAGGGACCAGGAACCTCATCCTGGCCTCGGCTCTGGGTCATGTTCTGCTCTGGACTTCTTTTCTCCGCTCCAGAATACGGGGCTGGACTCTGGTTTCCAGGGTCTACTCTGCTTAGAGTACTGGGATTCACCCTGGGCTGGGGGCTGATTCTGGGGTGTTCTGATGTGCCTATGCAGAGGGAAGCAACTCAGTCCTATGGGGCAGTGAAGACCACCCAGCCCAAAGGCCTGGCACCCCAGAGGCCTTAGCTCTCACTCCCTTGGAGGCCCCTCTGTCCAGACCGTGTTTCCCATCCGGCGTCTGTACTCACGCCTTCTCCCCTTGATTGGCTGGTAAACCTCTAAGCCTTTCCCGCTGTCCAGCCAGCCCCTTCCTGAAAGAGAGGGACTCAGCTGAAGGCAGCTAAGCCCCTGCCCCTATCGAAAGGCAGCAGAGGAGAGGCAAGAGCACTTTGGCTTCACAAATCATTGACTTCTGCAAGCTGTATTGTGAGGACACATTGTGAGGAGGCGGCTGTGGGGGGAGGAGAAGCCAGAGATGGGAGACTTGAGGTCTGTTCCCATCTCTACCCCCACCAGCCTTCTGTGTAATGATCTGGGCCAATGTGGCTGCCCTCCCAGGCATCCCTTCTACTCCCTGTGACATGGAAGGAACCGGTCAGGTCCTCAGTGTCCTGGCTCTAGACACTTTCTCTGTGTTTGGAGAAAGGGAAAATGTCTGGAGGTCCCATGTTGCTTAGCTAAACCTGCCCCTAGTTCTTGTGCAGGGAGGCGGGGTGGGGGGTGGGGGTCCCGCCTTGCGAACAGGATTTCCTAGGGAGGGAGCTGACTTGGGTCAGCTCCGAAGCCTTGCAGAGCCTTACTGCCTGCCACGGGCTGGCTGGGTCCAGGGTAGGAGCTGAGTCCTGAGCTGTCCTGTGGCTCCTCATTCTACCATTCAGAAGGGCCCGGCCTCTGAGAGCCCTGCCCATTCCCTCCAGGGTCCTGGCTTCCCACAGTGTCTCTCCTAATGCTGCTTCGACAAGCCAGGGCCCTCCCTGGGCTCCAAAGCAAGAGGAGAGAACAGTTCTTTCGCAGAGCGCCCATCCCGTTATTTTCGTTCCCGGTGAGCTCATTCTTAACACACCTGGGCCTCAGAAGGGTCATGATGTGGGCCCGGATCTCTGCCACCGATTACGCACCCTGTCCCTTCTTGAGGCCCCAGTCCTCTCTCCAGAGGACGACCGTTAAGGAGAACCAGTAGGATGTACGCATGATGAGCTATCACGTGTGAACAGGTTTCTTCTCTCCTGCCTGTTCTGATAGATGGGCAGGGTCTCCGGAGCACTGTGCCAAGGACTCCGAGAGCACGTGCAGGTGTAGAGGAGACAGGACCCTGACAGGCAAGTCCTGTCTGCCCCTGGGCTCAGGGCTGGGGAGCAAGCAGCCCGAGTTACCGGCGCCTGTCGTTCCTGACGCACAACACTGGACAGCCGTTTGACCAAAACCTTAGCCACACTTTCCCCGCGGGGACCAGAGGCAGAGCCAGAGCACGGGGCTCTCCCCCACTCCACCACCAGCAAACTGCGTGGCTCGGGGCTGTGGCTGTGTGTGCCGCCGCTGTCACCATTAGAAAAAGTGGGCTTACATTTAGCTTCAGCCTTGGGATTTTCCTGAGGCTGAAAGTTGACCGAATACGAGAAAGTGACAGCTCATGGTGACACGCTTCCCATGTCTTTTGATTCCTCCAGGAGACCTGGTATTGGCACGGAAGTATCTACGCCAACAAGGTGGTCATGAGTGCGGTTAAGTGTTCGGGAACCGAGCTGTCCCTGGCACACTGCCGCCAGGACGAGGATGTGGCCTGCCCCCAGGGCGCGGTGCAGTATGGGGCCGGAGTCGCCTGCTCAGAAAGTGAGAGTTCCTGGGGGTCACAGGCTCCCTCCCCCGCACAGACACCCCAACACTTGCCTGATGACCGTGGAAAGGAAGCGGGAGGGAGGGACTGGGGAGTCTGGGAGCCTTGGGTTCAAACCCCGGAGACAGGGGACCTTCCTTGAGTTCTGTCCCTGAGAACTCCCAGCTCTTACCAGTTATCGAGGAAGACAGCACCTTCCTCAGGGCCGTTTCTGAGGCCAGGGAAGCAGATGAAGCACATACCCGGCTCCGTGTGTGTTGGCTTCCTTCCTCCCAACCCGCTCCAAAAAGCATTGCTTATTTTCACACCTTGGAGACAACTGAGCTTCCTGGTGAGTCCCTGGGAATCCTAGAGAGACTGAAAACATAGAAGGGGAACCCCTGCGGGGACTCAGAATGGCCCAGCTCATGAAGGCTCCCTTCTGTGCTGAGAGAGAGAGAGAGGACTAGCCCTGCAGCCTTGTGGGCACACTGCTCTCCGGAGCCTCGTGACAGTGCTGCCCTCCCGCCTTGACCTTCTAAAACCACACTTAGCCTTTTCCCTCGTGAATCTGGGAGGTGCAAGAAGCCCCGGATCTGGCCAGAGAACCTGAGAGCAGACCCCACCTGCCCTTTATTAGCTAATCTTGGCAGAGTTAACCACTCTGATCTCTAGTTACGGTTTTTCCTAGACGATGGGAATTAAAGTGACAGGAAACATGCGTGAGTGCCCAGAAGACAGTAGTGTGCCATCGCCATCTCTTACCATCATGGAAAGCCAGGGGTCCAGACCTGAACTAGGGAGCTTTGTGCACCATTGACCCCTTTAGACTCACCCAGCGTTTTCTAAGCCTTCCTTGTAAGGCAGGACTGCCCTCCTCCCACCCCCCAGGCGTGAGCTTCTCTGGGTGGACCACCCAGTCCAAGGAAGAGCTCGTCACTCTTAACCGGCCTCCCCCGGAGGAACATCCAAACAGAGAGCAGCAGTCAGGGGCCTTTTCTTGGCTTCTTAATTTATTTATATTTGTAATATACCATCATTTCCAAGAGGAAAATAACATAAACCTAAATAAAATTCAAGGTAGCCTAGGAGAAGATCAGATGTGAAAAGTAGGGATTGGCAAAAAGCTAAATGGAACCAAGAGAGAGATTAAAAAAAAATACGTGCTATAGAGTCCTATTCGTATACTGTCGGGAGGTCATAAAATTCACCAGGAGCTTCCTAACAGCCAAAGGAAGGAGGGAAACCTGGTCATTAATGTCATCCACAGTGTCCATGAAGTAGAAATATACCCATGAGATGGGAGACGCCCACTGTTCTAGATTCTGAGATGGAAGGGAATTTCTCACGCAGACAGACAGTTATGGGATCAACAGTGCCCTTGACATCCTCATGGCAGGTGAAAAATGAGTTTTATGGGGCTCTGAGAACTCAAGTTAGGCCAAAGGCATCACTCAGGGTGACTCCTGGGGTAGGCGGGGGAACAGTGGCCATTTGGGCCTGGAACACAGCTCTTAGTGGATCTGGCTTAACGCATGTTACATATTGGCAGATGAGGAATATTCTGCATAATTACTATTTCTCATCCGACCAGTTCCACCCTGTATCTGCAAATCTTCCTTTTCTCTCCCTCTTCCTGCTGACCCACCCCCCACCCTGCCATATACACTCTGTCTTCTTTGTTACCTCTCATGTCTTCTCTACTCCCTCTACGTCTCGGCCCGTGTCCAGGCGCCATTCCTCCAGACTGTATCAGTGCAGAGGCTCCTCGGTGGCACCCCCACAGTGACAGGTGCCCCTCCGATGGCTCCCCCACCCCAGGGCCGGAATCCATGCTGGTCTCCCACGCATGCTTCTGTCCTATTCAAATCCCTCCAGGCTTCCCCACAGCACTTAGGTGAATTCAGGAACTTGCACAAGGCACGTGTTGTCCAGCCTCATTTGGAGCCACCTCCCACCTCCCACCCCTCCTTGGTGGCCCAGCCACAGAGGTGCCCCTTTATGCCTCAGGGACCTGACACATGCTACTTAGCATGTAGGGCAACTCCTTGTAATCCCTGCTCCCCCTCCAGGGAGCAACTAAACCCTAATTGCCTCCAAGGAAATCCTTCCCAACCTCCTCCCTACTGCTGGGTCCCCTGGTTATAATTTCCAACACCCTCCATATGTTACCTTCTGGCTCTGGTCACAACCGTAATTAAGCAGTAATATGGGCTTCTGTCTGTCTCTCCTGCGACAACGTAAGGTCAGCCTTGTGCAGCACTGTCCAGAGAGCCTAGCACAGGGTTCACTGGAATGCTTGGTGGAAAGACAGAGAGAAAGAGAGAAAGAGCAAGGGAGACCCATTCGCTCAGCTCAGATGTAAGCAGAAGTGCTGTCCACGGAGTACCGACTGTGGTACAGACAGTGAATAAGACTCATTATAGCCTCCAATAAAAGTGTGACCAGGACACTCAGCACCAGCCATGCCTCCTGGTGTGTGTCCTCCAAGAGGAAGTATTTCTCAACAATTGCTGTCTTCCACTCCTTACCCCACATCTCATCTGTGTGGCCCCCTCCAGACCCTTCAGCTCCACATCCATCCCCTGCAAGTGGATTTGCTCTCGAGAGGCTGCCGGCCCCACGGGGTCCCAGTGTGTCTTGAGAGCTCCATGCAGCCTGGGGGCCATGGGGAGCGCTCCAGGCTCTGGTGAACTTGAGGGAAACAAAGCTCAGACGCACACGCACTCCAGTTACAAGCAACTTGTCAGAAAATGAAGGATGGATCCCGTTACAAGTAATTCACAGGCAATACTTTTGTGAATTCAGATGTACTAGAAATAGTCAGTAGAATCTGACTTTTAAAGGGAAACCTACAGTTAATCCTTTTGTAAAAAAGATAAACCTTCTATTAGGCTTGTTGAGGAAATACAGAGTGTAGCCATTGGTAATTTTTTTTAAACACCTGTAGTGTGCAATGTGCTCACTGATTCAATCAAGCTTTGTTTTAAAAAATGCACCTGAGGGCACCTGGGTGGCGCAGTCAACCCATTAAGTGTCAGACTTAGTTGGCTCAGGTCATGATCTCAGGGCCATGGGATCGAGCCCCGAGGTGTGAGGAGCCATGCTCAGCCGGGTATTTGCTTCTCTCTCTCTCTCTCTCTGCCTCTCCCCCTTTGCCCCTCCCCGAGCTTGCACTTTCTCTCTCTAAAATAAGTACATAAATCTTAAAAAAAAATGCACCTTGTGGAAACTCATGCAGAGCAACAGTATGCATGGAAACTGGAAGAATCCGTTATTGAGCAACATGCATCAGAGCCTTGAAAACACGCAGCCCTTCCGTCCAGCAATGTCACTTCTAGAAATACCCTCTAAAGAAATAAGTTATATACACAGACTTACTCCTGGATGTTTATCACAGCTTTATCTTTAATGGTGAGAAAAGGCAAGCAACCGGTGTATCGAGAAATAGGAGGTAGGGTTATGAATTCAATACTATGCAGCCATAAAATGCATGTGTAATGGGTATTTATTAACAAGGAAATATGTCAAGATGTGTTTTAAGGGAAAGGGTATTAGCAGACTGTAAATCCACATACACTATCACACGTGTTGTAAACTGTGCATCCTTCCCAGAAGGATCAGACTGAGGTGTTCACGGGGCTCTCTCTCCGGGAAGCATAGTATCATTGCTATTGTTTGTATTTTACGATGGAAAATCTCCAGGCACCCGAAAGGAGAGATAACAATATAATGGACGCTCGTGTTTTGCCCATCATGTTGCACTGATAGCTGCAGAAATATCCAAGAGGACTCTCAGAGGAGGGGAAGAGGAATTTGGGGGTAGCATTCCTCCAGGAGGGGACCTGGAGAGACCATGAGCCCGTCCCAGATGTTGATGCTAGGCAGGGATGGGGTTGGTCCCAGCTCAGGAGTCCAAAGCAGAAGACTTGGAGGGGTGAGGAGGGTCGCTCCTCTTGCTTGAACACCACGTCTGTGCTCCCCAGCTGCCCCCGACCTGGTCCTCAATGCGGAGATCGTCCAGCAGAGCACCTACCTGGAGGACCGCCCCATGTTCATGCTCCAGTGTGCCATGGAAGAGAACTGCCTCTCAGCCTCGGCCGCCCAGACCAACCCCACCACAGGCTACCGCCGCCTTCTGCGCTTCTCCTCCCAGATCCACAACAACGGGCAGTCTGACTTCCGACCCAAGAATGGCCGCCATGCGTGGATCTGGCATGATTGCCACAGGTGAGCCTTCCTGCATCACCAGCAGCCTGACACAGTGCAGGGCCCGCATAGGAATCAGAATCGCAGGGTCGCTCTAGAGAGAGCTGAGAGGCCACACATCCAGGAGGCAGGGTCTGCCCACATTAGAGGGGGTCCAGGTCGCCACAGTGGCCTTCCACATTTACTGAGCCATTCTCCACCGCCAGCTGCCCCAGCCCCCATCCCCTTCCCCTAGCCTGGTCTCTTTCTTGCCTCCAGTGCCTAATGTTAGGGAACAAACATCTTGTTTGTTTCATCTCCACTGACACTAAGTTGATGGTTTTCACGTCCATCTATGGCAAGTTCACACTCTGCACAGTGCTCGGGGGTTCTGCAATTTTTGGATTTTTATAAATATATGTGAGGGGCGCCTGGGTGGCTCAGTCAGTTAAGCATCTGCCTTCAGCTCAGATCATGATCCCGGGATCCTGGGATCGGGCCCCATGTCAGGTCCCTGCTCAGCGAGGAGTCTGCTACTCCCTCTGCCTGCTACTCCCCGTGTTTGTGCTGTCTCTCTGTCAAATAAATAAATAAAATATATTTTTTAAATATCCTCAAAAAAAAAATATATATGTATGTATATTTGAAATATCTCCAGGAAGGTAGTGGGTGTGGAGGCAAGGGTTCTGGACCCAGCAGTCATGAGACCCAGTCTCTCAACCCAGCCTTGTGATGTCAGACCATCTGGGCCACATCAGCCGGGATCTCCAGTGTCCCTGCCAGCCCTCAGCCTGTGGACTTGGCCCCAGTGCTATGAATCCTGCACCAGAACAGAAATCCTAGAGCTGGCCCTAGCTGGAGCCAACAGAAACCACCCATTCATCTCCTGGCCTTTTCTTTCTCTTTGCTTTTGATTCTCATTCTAATCCAGAGCCCACTGCCCTTGCTTATTCAGATTTTCCTGCGGGGACCTGACTTGGGCAGGGAGAGGGAACAGAAGAGAACACACTTTTGAAGACGAAGTCGGGGAGCCCTGCTGTGCAACAGGGCAGCAAGCCCCCGAGGGGTCCCCAGTGAGCACCCTCTCTCCCCGGATGCCCCCCATCTCTGCGGCAGAGCTCCCTCCTTCTCACAGGGAGGCCTGTGGGCGGGCAGAGTCATCCGTGGCAGACCTTTGCCCCAGAATCTGCATTTTGTCAGCATCACCAGGCAATGGTGTGTATGTAATGTCTTAAGTCTGAGGAGCCCCAGCCCAGCCAGAACTAGGCGTCCTTCCAACGGAAAACATAGCGACCCCCATGAGGGGCACAAGAACTGACTTTTATTGACCCCCTTCTCAGTGCCAGGCACATTTTCAAGGGTAGGGGAGCGGGGGCTCGGTGTTTATAGGGCTGGTCCAGGAAGTCCAACAGGAAGTTGCCAGGCGCGGATCCCCAGCTCGCGTCTGTCTGACTCCAGCTCTTTCCGTTACCTCTGCTGCATGTTCATCAGAAACCTGTCCTCGCCTGCTTCTCCGTGTCCCAATGGATGCTCCTGTCACAGTCAAACCGGTTTAGGGATTGAACTGTTCAATCTGTTTCAAAAGAAAAAGCCTAGGGATAGAATTTAGAACTTGTTGATTTTCCTTCATAATTATTATCCGTATGTTTTGAATGTCCTAATTAGCCAGGGAATTTTTGGTCTCCATACAGAAGTATGTCAGCCTTCAGCAGGCTGGACGTCAGAGAGTAAAACTGAAGTCATGAGCAGATTGGTGCCTGATGGCCTCTAGAAAGCATATGGGTGGGAGCCCTGGGCCGGCGGGAGCTGACGCTGCCTGCTGTAAGTTGGACGTGATTGCATCTCTGTCCCACACGTGGTGGTCCGCCCCGACATTACATGGTGGGAGTCTCTGCGGGACATCTGCTAGCTCTCCAAGCAGTGGTTTGTCCTTTAAGAATACACATGGTGACACCACGGACGTGTTCCTTCTGATCTGGAGCTCCAGCATCCTGGTCTCTACCCTACCCCACCCCATTCTTTTCCTGTCGTCCTGTTTCATTTCTGTGCTTACAGATGTTCTAATCGGTGGTTTGGGAGGGATGGGTGGAAAAAACATGCTGGCCAAGCATATATCCCTTCAAGCCACCCCTTCCTCATCTGTAACTGAGAACCTACAGCCATGAGATCTCAGGGAGCATAAGACTGTTGCCCTCCCCCCAGCACCCAGCCTCCAAAGCTCCGAGGGACATGTCCAGGCTCTGTAGGAGGAACTTTCAATAGGACTTCTGGCCCCAAACCTCGGTTGGGTCCCTTTGGGAGTATGATGAAAGCAGGCCCTTCTTCACCCAAAAACAAAAAATTATTTCTAGAAGATTCAACATCCTCTTTCAGCAGACTTACTGACTGTGGAGCCAAAGCTGAGAACCCTGGCTCAAATCAGTGTGCATGGGGAAAATTATCACTCCCAATGTGATTAACGCTACAGTGAGGAATGGAACTATGTTCTTTGAAAGCTTTGAAATGAAACCTAAAGACTGACCCCCTTAGCACCTCCCTTGCCCACCAGAGGTAGAAGAAAATGCCCTGAGATGTCCTCTCTTATATGCACCGTGCCGTGGTTCAATGACCCTGCCTGTGCCCCAGGGAGCGGGGCCACCCCTACTTCACTGGCACGTCACGTCCCAGGTCCGGCAGGGTCCAGGCGGAGCTGGACACAGAGCCGCTCTGCCCCTGCTGTGGCCCGGGGATGAGTCCTCACCCTGCAGGCAGCCCCTGGGAGCTGGCAAGCAGGCGGTGGAAGCACAGCCCAGGGCCCAGCCCAGAGACCCAGGGACAGCCCTGCTCCAAAGAGGAGACTTTCCTTTACTCTGCCTAGCTCCCACCATGTGCAGAGCAGGCCCCATCTTGGATCAAAGCCCCACAGATGTGATGTGGCCTCTGGGAGCCAATGTTAGGCCCTTGCCCCATCTGTAGGGCTTTGTTCTGGCCAGAGGGCTCCCAGCACATGGGGAGGGCGGGTGGAGTGAGCAGAAGGCCCTCACCCTTCATGACAGCACCTTGTGATTCTGAAACACCCGCCACCATCCTCCCCTCCTCCATATTCTCTGCAGTGGGGACAGGATCATTGTCCCAGCTGCCGCTGAGCCCCAGCTATGACTGTCCATTCTGGAGGCACGAGGGGACACGTGGCAGGGGTTGGACAGGGTGAAGGGTGACAGCATTTCTGCAGCACACACCAACTTTCTGATTCAGAGTTTTATGTGGGTCCCCAGGGACCTAGGAAAACAAAGCTGCCATCTTCCTCTGGACTGGCGTGGTCCGTCTTCCGCATCTCCATCATCTCCTTCTTCCACTGACATCATGTCTTAGCATATTGAGCTCCGAAGTCTTAAGGTGGAAGGCCATCCTTCCTTTTCTCCGGATCACAATGACCTCCACCAAGTGTCAGGTTATTCTGTCTCTCCTGAGGTTCTGGAATTTCTTTCCAAGTTGTAATTTCCCTAGCCCATCCCCCCACCGCCACCGTGGATCTCCAGCCCCCTCTTAAACTTTCAAGGGTCAGGACACCTCAGTGTGGAAAGTGGAGATATACCCAAAACCAATACGTGCCCTCCTGCCCTCCAGGGGCTCCATCTGCATTTCCTGGGTGGGGTAGTGGGGGCAGGGGATGCCCCAGTCTCTACAGCCAGCCGGCAGGGAGGGAGACGTGGCCCCAGGGAGTGATGTCCACACCTGCCCCAGAAGTGAAACACAGGAGCCCCAGGACTACAGCTAGCTGGAATCCAGAGGCTCCAAACCAGCTGTTTCCATCCTCGTGTTGGCAGGGGAAAAACTGAAGAGCTAGGGAAGACTCTTAAATCAGGTCTGCAGGAAGCAGGAGGAGCGAGAGAAGGTCAGCCTTACAAGAGTCCATCTGTGGACTGCGTCTGAATTTTGTTTAGACAACGGAACATAAACCCATTTCTCTTCAGTCTTTCCAGCCAGTAAACATGGTAACATAAACCCCTCTCTGAAAGATGCAGACATGTTTTAGGCAGTGAGTCAGACCTCATGTCTCATCCTGCTCCTTCGAGAAGCCAAAATAGACTCGTTCAGAGTCATCGCTTTGACTTGCCACAAAACGTGTCCTTGTGAGTGTTCTCAGGGGGCCCCTGGCTCAGCATCGCTTTACCCAGAAACATGAGCGACCTGAGAAAAGCCCAAGTTAGGAACTCCTGGCATTATTTTTAGCACAAGCAAACATAGGAGGAAGGGGGAAAGAGCCTCTAATTTCCTCTCCGAAATTATTCCCCTCATTTTAATTCCCCTCTTGCTGCTGTCCTGACTGCCCCTGCTCCCATGGAGGGAGCCTGAGGCCAGCCCCGTGGGTCTTGTGGGGGTGAGGAAGGCTGGGAAGGGTAGCAGGAAAGGTAGTGACGGCAGTGGTTACAAAGACACTACTCGTGGTACTTCTGTGAGCAGGAGTGACGATGAGAGAGTTGACATGTGCTGAGAACCCCTCTATTACAAGCCCCCTGGGAGGTCTTTCTGTGGTTTCTCTGATTCAGTCCTTCTGGGACCCCTAAGAATGGGTCCTGTGATCATCCCCTCTTACCTGAGGAAGAAGTTTGGGTAGTTTTGCTCCCCATGCCTTGGGTGCCTTGTATCTCTGTTTCCCCATTTGCCCCGTGTCCCTGTGATGCCAGAGACAAGCGTGTTCGCATAGTTGCACATGCCTGTGAGGCACACATGGTGCAGCTTGGGCTGGGCCTCAGGGAGGCCCTTGGCCACACGTGGCAGCCATCTTCCCCTTATTTTTTCTGCACCAAAGGCACTACTTTCCAAGAATCTGCATCTGTTCTCAATTCCTCCGGAGCCAAGAGATGGGACACTGTTATGTAAACAACTCGCAGGAGCAAGAGACAGGGGGACACACGAGCTCTCCCTCCTCTGCTCTCATCCCGAGCCCATGGGGATGTGCCTGCCATGCTCTGCTCCTTCCCAAGGGCCTGCGAGCCCCCCTCAGCCCCTTTTTATGTGTCCCAGGCGAGGGGCACAGACTCCTGCCACCCACATCGAGGTGCGGTTACCTGGGGGCCCTCCTGCCTTGAGTCGGGATACCCCCCGACTCGTAAATGGTCTGCTCTTCCTGCCTTTCCCCTCCCGCACATGCCCTCCCCCTTCTGTCCTTTCCCTCCCCGTCATATCCCCACTTCAGAAAGTTTCCCAGAGATATCAGAAAGTCACTTTTATCGGTCTGCAGTAAGTGTGCAACACAGAAACGGGCTGGGACAAACACTGTCATGCCCAGGAGGTTATAAACAGCACTGAGTAAAGAGCTCTTCACGTATGGAGTGGACAGTGTGGCAGGCCCCCTGCCTCCCTGGGCACCTTGCTAATCCCCATGAGGCCGCCTGCGTCTGGGCAGGGTTGTTCCTGTTCAGCTGGTGAGAGAGCCGAGGCCTGGACGGGGAAGCCTCCCCCCGTGGGGAAGCACCACAGATACCAGCGTCTGGTTCTGCTCTCCCTTTCCTCAGGCCCTGTCACCCACTCCTCTTCTACAGGCCACCCCTCAGGACCCCACTGCTCGCAGGTGGCAGCTCCAGCCACTGACCTGTAGCCTGCCCCCCCTTTCTCTCTCTCACTCACTCTCTCTCTCTGCAGGCACTACCACAGCATGGAAGTGTTCACCCACTATGACCTCTTGAACCTCAACGGTACCAAAGTGGCAGAGGGCCACAAAGCCAGCTTCTGCTTGGAGGACACAGAATGTGAAGGAGGTATCTTTGTGTGGTGGCTCCAGAGGGACTCCAGTGCTCCCACCTGTCTTGGAGTCCAGGCCTGATGCCACACTCTGTCACCCTGGCCACTGCTGACTCTCCCCATGACCCCTTCTCCCCTCAGGCCTTCCTGTGGCTATAGCTCAGGGCTGGGGCTTGTAGGCAGGGCCCAGCTGTGAAGGTGCTGGATCCCCCCACCACAGTGGGCACTGGTGGGTCCACGTGGTCCCCTGGTGAGGCCCAAACCTGGCACGTGGTTCCCCTCCACCTCCCTGGGTCCCAGTGCCAAATCCCTACCCCACAGGCTCATGGCCTCCCAAGTCCAAACCCAAAAGACCCCCTCTGAGGTTCCCAGGTCTCTTGACTCCCCCGGAGGCGGCACTCAGCTCCCACCTCTGATCACTGGTGGGCACATCTGCCACCTGACCTGACTGGGACTCAGGGAAGACACAGTGCTGCTTCTGCATATGCCCAGGGCTTCGAGCAGTGCCTGGACAGGTTAGCCTCTCGGCAAATGCATGTTCATTACTCAGTCGTGGACTTGCCATGCCATGAAATCACCCAAACGAATGAGTTTTGAGCACGTCCTTGCCACACAACCAGCCGATCCAGTGAAAGGTCAGATACACGAACCAGACCTGAGCCCACATCCAAGTGCCAACTCTCCGGAGGGCGGCAAGATGACCCCCCACATTAAGCTAAATAACCACCACCAGAGCTTTCCCAGATCAGCGCTCACTTCATTCCCCAGCTAATGTGAGTGCCAGAGGGGCCAGGGAGGGCTTTGTGGAAGAGGGGCCCTTGGCTGGCCCTAAAAGGACAAGACAGGATGTGGGTAGAGAATCAGGCAAGGGTTCCAGGGATGGGAGAATGGATGGGAGACCCACACAGTCGGGATGGGATGCCAAGCCCTGATGAAGCAAAGGTTTGAGGGCTTGGGGGGAGGAAAAGATTTGTCAAGCGTGGGATCTGGGAATAGCACCCAGCCAGTGGGGCTTCTTGGGGCGCACTGGGGGAAGGGGAGCGCAGAGGGCGAGCACTAGAGGCAATAGGGCCCAGGTGCAAGGGGACCGGGCTTCTCTTTGCCCCTGCCTGCAGACATCCAGAAGAATTATGAGTGTGCCAACTTCGGTGAGCAGGGCATCACCATGGGCTGCTGGGATGTGTATCGCCATGACATCGACTGCCAGTGGGTTGACATCACCGATGTCCCCCCAGGAGACTACCTATTCCAGGTAGGAGGGGGTCCAGCCCCAGCGGATGGGAGGAGGGCCCTTTCTCCCGGTGATGGGGAAGGCAGCCCCCTTCCTGCTGGTGTCCAAACAGGAAATGAAGGCAGGGAGGCCAGTCTGAAGGGCAGGAGTCCTATGCCCAGGGGCCGGCACATCACGGCCAACCAGGTGACCTAAGCATGGGAGGCATGCACGCCTCCCGGGACACCCGCACTCAGCTGACACCTGAACTTGCAAATCAAAAGACACGGGCAGCCAGATCTGGTCCTCCGGCCCAGGAGCTGTTCCACGAATTCTAAGGCGTCCACACCTGCGGTGTCATTTGACACAGGCTCTGTCCTCCACACATCCTCTCTGGGTGCCCTCACCCTGCCTCGTCTGTTCTGTCAGAGCTGAAAGTAATCTCATGAAGAGCAATTCACTCGCCAGTGTTTGTGACCTGGGTCTCCCAGAAAAGTTGGCCTCGGGCCAGGGTCTGCAGGGGGGACGGTTCTCCTGCCTCCCTGCAGACACAGCGGTCTGCTCCAGCCTGCTCCAGCCAGGGCCCTGGCCGGCGTGGGAGTGGGGCTGCCCCCCCCAACCTCCCCTTGTCTGGGGCACAGTTGTGCTCCGGCCCGCGGGGGCTCCCTGGCGTCCTGTCACATTCCTCTACAGCCATCCGGCTTGCTTTCGGGCTGGCCCCACCGGGTGGCAAAGTGGGTGACCAGAAATGTGTCATCCTGCCTTGAAAACTTGCCCAAGAGGGCACTCTGCCAGCCCAGAGCCTGGCCCAGGGTCCCCACCCTGCAGACGGCCCTGGGAAGAAGCAACACCTGCAGAGAAGTGACCACAGAGCGGCTTTGAGTCTTCCTGGGCAGTTTCAGAGGCTGGAAATCAGACAGCCAAACACTTTTCCACCCACAAACCCCAAACTGCGGACTTGGAGAGGCCCAGCCAAAGTGCTCTTTATTCTAAAAACTGACTATCCATGTCTCTGTGCACGTACACGGTGCATGGGGGCTTCCGCGTGGGGTCTGCTATCGCTCTGCTGGGGGAAGGGGTGGCATCACATGTCCTGACCTGTGCCATCTATTTAATAACGATGGCTTGTTGGAAGCCTGATGCCGGGCCTGGCCTGGCCGTGCCTGAGCCCCGTGAACGCATGGAGCCCTCCAAGGAAGGGTTCCACTAGCACGCCCATTTCACAGCCCAGCAAACCCGGATCACGTCTGCGTTCCTGACGCCTGAACTTTACAATTAGCTAATTAACTCAACAGGAGCATGTTAGTGCTTCTGATTCAAGGGAAAGAATTTTTTCCCTTAGGACAGACACGGAGCTTCCCCTGGCCTGGGATTCACTGACCCTCTCCATTACCTCCTGGCCCTGCATGCAGACAGCGCTAACGCTGCCAAGGCCGGGAGAGAGCTGGCCGGGCTGGACTGGGGGGTGAGGAGCGGAGAGGAAGTGGCCTTCCAGGCAGAGGGGCCTGCGGGCGAGGGCTCAGAGGCAGGGGCTTGTGTGAAGGCACACCTCCAGGAGCACACAGCCTGGTCCTCGTCTGCACCCCATCTCAGCGTGTCCTGCTCCCCAGCTTCCTCCTCGGTCCTACCAGCAGCCTCTTCTTTGGCTACCCTGGGCCCCAATTCCTGCCTCTACTATCCTCAAGCCTCCCAGGGACCCCAGGACAGGGTAACCCCTTTATGAAGGCCTCTCTGTGGGAGGGGGTATGTGTGTGAATTGCACAGAGGCAGGCAGCCAGGGGTGCATACCCTCACTCCTCTGGACCTCGCCCCCCACCCCCCGGGCCCATCCTGCCCCCAGCACCGGCCATGCTCCTTCCCATGAGGTCGCCCAGGCTCTGGATGCAAGGCTGGTGTGGGTGGGCTCCAGGCCTGTGGTGGGCGCTGGGGGGTGGCCAGGGCGGGTCTCAGCAGCTTGCTCCGCTCTGCCCCGCTCCCAGGTCGTCATCAACCCCAACTATGAGGTCGCCGAGTCTGACTACAGCAACAACATCATGAAGTGCAGAACCCGCTATGACGGCCACCGCATCTGGATGTACAACTGCCACATAGGTAAGGGCCCCGGGCGCTTGGCGGGGAGCCCCTCACCCCAGGGGACCCAGGGTCCCCCCTTCGGCCCAGCCTCCGGGAGATGGAGGCAAGAACTGCCCTGCTTTGTCGAGGAATCTGAGCGGCTTCCCAATCTGGGTAACGAGTGTGGGGAACGGAGCCAGCCTCCTGCTTCCACGCACAGGAAGGAAGCTGTAGACACATGAGGCCTGGACAGAGCCTGGGTTTTCGCAGCCAGCTCCAGCCAAGGAGGAGGGCGGCACCGAACCGGGCTGGAGCGGAGGCCATCTCCTCGTTCCTCATGTGACCTCAAACATGTGGGCGTCAGCATTTTGTGGGTTCTGTGTATCCTCTTCCTCTGCCGAGAGCTAGAAGCTTAGTGAACCACTGTGGCTTCGGGTCGCCAATAAAGCAACTTTTCCTTGCACTCCACACACTGGGGAATAAAAGGGGAAGCAGAGCTTCCTCTCCTGCAGGAGGAGTGATGGCCCCCCACTCCCTTGATGGCAAAAACTAAACTCGCTAGGGTTGGCCATGCCTTCGCTCAGCTTTGACAGAGCATCTGACCTGTGCCTGGCCCTGGGGACGACCCACACCTGGTGGCCGCCCTGGGGCTGTCACACAGAGGTGGCCCCAGCACAGTCACCTGGTGGAGGGCAGTGGCTCCAGACCCCTGAGGCCGACAGCTGTGGTGTGGGAGGAGGCTGAGCGTCTGGTTTGCCAAACTCTGTCTCCCCAATGCCCATCCTTCAGGTGGTTCCTTCAGTGAAGAGACGGAAAAAAAGTTTGAACACTTCAGTGGACTCCTAAATAACCAGCTCTCCACACGGTAAAGCGCCAGGGCACCTCCTATCTTCAGGCCGCCACGCATCTTCCCAAAAACTGCAGTCTGACTGATGGCCACGCTCCCCCCGCCTCGTGCAGCCCAGCCCCTGCCCTGTCTCAACCTACTGCAGCCACATCCGAGGCTCGGGGGCGGGGAGACGGGGTGTGCTTGTCACCCGCTGGGGGCTGCTGACCGACCGACCTCTGGAGCCTGGGATGACCTCTGGGGTGGGGCCTGACGACAGGGTGGTGGGCACCAAGAGCCAGCTCGGCTGGGACCCTGGGAGCACAGGTTAGCAGCAGCTTGTCCCACCCCAAGTATGACGCCACCCCACTCAACTCATGACAGATAATTTCACCACGCTGTTGGTGTGAGCGGTCAACCACAGGCAGTCAGGCTGAATTCCATTTTTGGGTCATTTCCGGCCAACCTCAGTACCTAGACCTCTCTTCCCATTAAACAGGCTGCCTCCACTCTATGATATTCACATATACAAATAATGCTGCCATGTGTTTTCTAATGAGCTCAGAGTTGGTGCTTCTCCGCCCTCCACTCCTAAATCCTCTTATGAGATACCATTATTATACTTTCACAGATTTTGAAACACAAACTAATTTCGCAGCATATACTATTGGGCATCTGGGGCGCTGAAAGTATAGCTCAAAAGGAAAACCAGCCCACCTGTGTAAGTGACTTGTCTTTCTGTTGTTCCAATTCTGTGGGTAACTGATTTAACGGTGCTATAACCAGGGTCCTGGGTGGTGAGGACACCCACCGAGCGCCATGTGTCATCACAGACACTTACACATACTTGAAACTTTGAATAAAAGTTTATGATACGTATTTGTGTCTCATTTGGGCCCCTGCCCCCACCTCTGAGCAGCAGAGCTCCCACAGACAGTCAGCATGGCTGAGAGAGCCTTGCATGTGCTCTCAGGTTCACGCTAGAGATGGGTCCCTGGGGCTGCCTTCAGCGCCCACCACAAAGACCAACATCTCTGCCTTCTGACAGCAGAGATTAAGGATCACAAAAATCACAAAAATGCCAAGTCCTGACCTCTCCTGAACTCATGTTTTTAGTGAGTTTGTCAGGGCACGGCAGCTCCGAGGATGGGATGGGACATCCAGATTTAAACCGTTTTAGGTGTCCACAAGGCCGGTGCCCTGGCCGGGCTCTGGGGGTGGGGGTGGGGAGGCCAGCCCTGACCCCTCAGGCCATGGGGATGCGGACCACGCCCACCAGCATCAGCAGGGGGGCAGGCTCTTCCCAGCAAATCGGAAGGGTCCACCGTGACCCCAGAGCACCAAGTAGGGCTGCCTTGGCACCCATCCACCCAAATCAGAAATGGGAGTGACCTGAGACCTCGTCCCCAAAGATGCCCTTGTCCTGGGAGGGAGTCAAATTCAGCGACCATTTCAGGTGCTGCCTCTTGTCTTTGTTCATGGCTATAGAAGCGTGGCAAGCCCTTCTGTGACCCACACCAGCAGGTGACACTAGGACCAGGTCCAAGGGCTAGTGCCCTGCAGCCCAGGGCAGCAGGTTAGGATGCTGGAAGTGCTGGGAGACTGGGCAGGTGTCACACAACAGGTGGAACCCTCCCCACCCCCGCCACCCCCAAAACTGGGTAAACACTGGGCAAAAATGCCTTTGAGGCCCTGCTAGGATCCTCCCAGCCTACCTAAAGGACCCATTTCTTCAGCAGCCCCCAGGTCTAAAATGGGAGAAAACAGCACCCCCTAGTGTTCTCTGGCAGGCCATTTCATTTTGAAGCAATGTTCAAGCTTTTATTTTTTTCTTAACTTCTGTAACTAGACCAAACGAAAGCCCACCCAGCCCCACAGGGACACCCTAACAAACTGCACAGGGCTATTCTGGTGTCTGTAAAGGCTTGTGGTGTTGGGGCACCAGCCCAGTTCTGCGGGTGCCAATCCAGGCTTGCTGGGCCGCTCAGGGCCTCAGGGAGGTAGGAGACTCAACGGCAGGCCGCTCTTTCTTCCTGTGTTGGAGCCCCAGTGCCCGGGCCACCAGCCTCCTGGCCACCGTTGTATTTGTCTGTGGTCTTGCCTTCGCCAGACGCAGGAGCTCTAAAAGGAAAGCCCCATGGCATGAGGACCTGGGTTCAAGGCTATGGCTACCACTCCTCCAGTGACACAGCAGCCAAGAGGCCATCTGAGCCAACCTCTAAGGCCCAGCTGTCCCAACCTCTAAGGCCCAGCTGTCCCCACAGCATGGCCAGATGCCCGTGGGGTCCTAGCCTAATCCTGCCACCTCTGCCTCTTCCCTGATTGGGCCACCGGGAAGGGAAGTCAAGTCAAGATGGGACACCTGGAACTCGTAGACTGACAGGATATTTACTGTCCCCAAGTCTGGGGCAAAGGTTACACGGGACACAAGAGCATCAGGTGGCCTCAGGAGACCTATTCCGGGCCAGTCTTGCCAGCTACTTTGCAGCCACAGAAAACTGGCCTCCAACATCCTCCATCATGCATTTGGGAAGGACAAGAGGAAAAAGGAGGAGTGATCATTTATCTGGCACCTTCTGTGTATACCCCTCACTGCCCCAGGCAGGTCTGTCAGGCTTTTTTTTTTTTAATATTTTATTTACTTATTTGACAGAGAGAGATCACAAGTGGGCAGAGAGGCAGGCAGAGAGAGGGGAAAGCAGGCTCCCCACTGAGCAGGGAGCCCGATGCGGAGCTCGATCCCAGGCCCCTGAGACCATGACCTGAGCCGAAGGCAGAGGCTTAACCCATTGGCTGTTCTATTCACTCCTCCAGTCCACCCAGTACGATCTGCTTACTCTTGAGAGAAAGGAATCAGCTCACAGACATTAGGTGACTTGCTCAAAGTCATCTTCAAGAGGTGCCAGAAGCAGGATCACACACAGGGCTGACCCCAAAACTCCAAGCTCTTCTTACCCAACTGTAAAATATGGTTTCCAGGGCCCCATAGGAAAGACCAAGCTTTTCCCTGAGCAACACCTAGAAGGGCAAGCCCAGAACAGAGCAACTGGCAAAGAGCTCTCCGTAATGGGACCCTTTTTCCCTAGGTACCCCTGGGCCCTGGGCTGCGGGAGGAGCACCCCTTTGGCCACTGTAGCCCAGTGGTCCTAAGGCAGAGAGCTCAAGAACAGGAATGAATCCAAGGGAAGGCCCCACCCTGACCAACCACTTGTACGCTCACGCGGCTTTCCCATCAGGACACAACCAGTTTCCTTACTTGGCCTCTGCAAGGCTTTCAGCTTTGACTGCTTGGTTCCCTGAGTGAGGGGCCGGATCTTGAGCACAGAAAAATCCTTGGTCAGGGCTTCAGCGGCTATGGAAAGAAAACAGATCTGGAGCCATCCCTGTTTCTCCTGGTGAGGCCCCATCAGGGCCAGGGAGCACATGTACCACCCCAAACTGATGGCACCTCTCTGTGCACCCCCTTGAAGCTTGGGGACTGGGCTGCCCTAACACCACTCCGAACGGGCAAGAGATGCCGCCATCTGTTCACCTCATCCCTCTAGAGCTCCACGCCTGCAGAGGCCACCTGTGCTCTCAGATGGGGAGCCGGTGCAGAGCCCAGCCTCCACGCTCTCCCCTGGGCCAGTCTGGAGCCACACCAGTGAGGCTGCAATTGCTGACATCAGGGAAGGCGGGCTCCCACCTCCCACCTTCTAAAGCCCAGGAGCTTCGAATAAACCCTCCCCCTTCCCCACTCAAGACTCTCCTGATGCATGCCCTCACTGCCCAGAGCTATGCTAGAGCCACAGGGTACCTGGCCTATGGCACATCACACACAGCACGAGAGAGCTGTGTAAGCTGTGTAAGCCAAGGCCAGGACGGGACCTGCTCCTCACACGAAGCTTGGCAGAGCTCAGGAGGCGGCCATGGCCACACCGCATCCAGCACTCTTTCTTTCCACGGCACCCCGTGGCCACCCACCCTGCCTGCCCTCAGTCGGCTCCTTCCCTGGTGCTGCAGCAGTCATCACGGCCCAGTTCTCCTGCACCCCCAACACCCCCAGCTCTCCTGAGAAATCGGTCCGAGTCAACTATGGCCTCTCCCAGCTCTGCTGCTGTTCAGAAGCTCATGGTTATGAAAAGCCCAGCCAAGGGGGTCAGGGGTCTCGATAAATACACCCAAAGTGAGCTGTGGTGTGGCAGGGGTGGCTTGGGAGTGTGGCCGAGCGGGGGAAGGAGCACTGGGGTCACAGCCAGGGGACTGGCTGACGTCCCCAGGTTTGACACTGGGAGGCCTTGTAACCTGGGACAGACTACTGACATTCTGGGAACCTCGGTCTCCCCATCTGTAAAATAGAAGTAACCTGACCTACTTCTTGAGGCTGCAATGAAAGCTGAGGAAAAACACATCTGCTTGAACCATATGAAATCCCCAGTATTTAAAGGCTTTTCACTTATAAAAAGAGCATGTTCCTACGATTTCATTTCCCATGCGGAAGCAGCCAGAGCTAAGCCTGTGACACGGGCTCGGTAAACATCACCGGACTCTGAAACCTCTGACCTGAAGGCACCACCATGAGCTGCCCGGCCCAGCTCCCCCTCCGCTGCCTCTGAACTCCTGGACTGGGAGGGCTGGGTGCGGACTTCGGGGCCACTTGCCCAGGTGAGCTTGCACCTGCCACAGGTCATCCTTCCCTTGAAGATGGCAGTCAGAGAAAGGGCCAACCGAGCACACCACGAAGCTGCATTACCTGAGGCCAGGCAGGGAAAGACACCGAGCGCGTGTGTGTCATCTACCCACTGAATCTTGAGCCCCTTCTCTCTGTGCCAGGGAAGAGGAGACAGAGTTAGGACAAAAGCAAGGGGTGAAAACCTTTCTGCAGGAGATCCCTCCCACCTCCGATCCTCCAACACTACCAGCCCAAGACAAGTTCCTATCTCCCCTGCAAGGAGACAACGCTTTGCAGGCAACTTTCTCGGCCACACAGTTAGCCTCAGAAGGACAAGTATCAGCCCTGTGGATCGGTGGGTCCCAGATTCCTAAGGCTGAGGAAGACAGGACTCAAAGAGCTCGAAGAGCACGGTGCCAAGGGTGAAGAAGGCTCCATGTAGGCACCGCCAAGGTGAGGCCAAGGGCATGGGAGATGAAAGGGTTTACGTGCCGGGGACAGGGGGCAGAACCTAAAATAAGCATGTCCGTGTTACTGCTCCTGGTCAGCTTTCTTCCTACTGCCCAAGAAAGCCACACTGAGTCTGAGGCTGATGAGAGGTCAAAAGCAGTTTGAGGCCTGTTTCTCTGTGGGCACTGCCCACGCTGGCTGAAGGAGTCACAGGAGGCCCCCATTTGGCCACACCTTTAAGAAGCGAGAGCAGATGAGGCCCTCCTGCCCTACCAAGCTGCCCCTTTGGCATTCCTCACGCTCAGGCTCAGGGAGGCAAGGGAGGGCAGTCTGAGAAGCAGTCTAAAAAGGGGGCCATGAAAAAAGGCATCTTTATTCTTTTTTTTTTTCAAAGATTTTCATTTTATTTGAGAGAGAGGGCAAGGAGGAGGGGCAGAGGAGAGGGAAAAAGAGTCCCAAGCACACCCACTGCTGAGTGCAGAGCCTAACACGGGGCTCGATCTCAACACCCTGAGATCATGACCTGCACTGAAACCCAGAGTCAGGCATTTAACTGACTTTGCCACTCAGGAGCCCCAAGAAAGGGATTTTTAAAAAAACTAAGTTGGAGGAGCATTTTGCTGGCTGTCAGTGGAGCATGTGACTCTTGATCTCAGGGCTGTGGGTTCAAGCCCCATGTTGGAGGTAGAGATTACTTAAAAATAAAAATCTTTGAAAAAAAATAAAAGACTAAGCAGAAAGAGAGAAAGGAGACTGAAAAAGGAAAATGAACATTAAAATAAGAAAGGGGGAGGGAAGGAGAAGAGGAAGAAGGGAGGGAAGGAGGAAGGAAGGAAGGGGGAAGGAGGAAAGAAGGAAAAAAAGGAGGAAAGACTGGAGTTAGATCAAGAAATCTGAGGCAACAGAAATCTCTGCTTGCAGTACACCCCCTTGGCGTCCATCTCCACCCTGACTCTGCCCCAGGGCACTCAGACCCAGCTCACCCCAGAAACAGTTCTGGCACAGAAATGGCCCTCAGTCTGTAGACTGACTGACGGGGTGGCCGGGATGTGGAGCAAGGGGAGGCAGTGGGCTGCCAGCATCCTGCACCCTGACAGGGAACCCGGCTCCCAGCAGGCGTGCGGGTGCGCGGAAAGCCGGGGGGGGGGCAGGATGAATGCCAGCAGGACCAGCTCTAGAGCCGCTGAATATGCCCCCCACTAAAAAACCAGCTCTCCCCCTTCTGTACTGTCATGGCCAGCAGGGGTACAGAGCCCCGAACAACCACATTCACTTTCTGCCCTTCTTTCCAGACAGCTAGACCCTGGGGGAGGGGCAGCAAAGGTCCCCGACAACACAGTGACGTCCCAGCACCCGCCTCCCCTGCTTCCCTGAAGTCTTGTGAGCACTCACTGGAACTCAGAAAACGCGGCCAGCAGGTCCTCAGTCTTGAGTGTTGGCTCAAAGTCGTAGATCTCCACCACATGGGCAAAATCCTTCTCTCCGGGCAGGTCCTCCACAAAGGAGGACGTGTCCACATGGATCTTTTCTACCTGAATGTCCTTCTCCGTAAGGTTGTCTGTTATCTGGGAGAGATCACACCCTTCAGCAAGGGGAGCTCTGACACGCAGGGCTCCACACATGTGCTTTCAAAACCACACACCGAGTTCTGCAGGCAGAAGCGGGACTCACATGGCAGGGAGCAGACCACTGCAAGCAGCTTCCCACGGGAGCCACACCTGGCAGGAGTCTGGGAAAGGCAGCATGATGGCTAGAAGGTGGGGAGGCAGGAGTTTTCGGGAAGGTACCTCACTTTTATGGAGTCCCCATTGGGGAACTGGCAATTATGTGCATTATGTTTCACAGTACCCCCTCTTTACAGACTAGAGCACTATAAATCAAAGAGTTAAGGAATTCTGCCCAGGAGTGCCCTGGGTGGCTCAGTCGTTAAACGTCTGCCTTTGGCTCAGGTCAGGATCCCGGGGTCCTGGGATCGAGTCCCACATCAAGCTCCCTGCTGGGGGTAGGGGAAGCCTGCTTCTCCCTCTCCCACTCCCCCTGCTTGTGTCTCCTCTCTTGCTATCAAATATATAAATTAAAAAAAAAAAAATCTTTAAAAAAAAGTAATTTCCCCCAAAGATACATAGTAAGGGACAGAACTGGGCAAGTCCAGGATCCTTCCTCCCCTTATTAACAATGTGATATTAAGCAAGTCATCCTGGTCTCTAGCCTTCATGCATAACACAGTAGTAAAAGACGCCCACCCTCCCAACCGAACAGCCAGTTTCAGGGGCAGACACCCAGTTCCAAGGAAAGGAGATCTGTAACACAAAGCCTCAGGCAGAAGAACCATTCTCATGACCAAGGCCTGTAGTCCCTTACAAAGCAATTCCTCATATCCTGTTACCTCATTAGGCAAAATATTATTATCTGCCTCTCAGACGATGCGGATAATATATAATATATATAAAATAATATATAAACAAAATGACTTGCCCGTGGTTGCACGGGACTGCACGGGAACCCAAATCCACACCCCTGACCCCATATCCTGAACCCCATCCTCCCAACTGTGTCAGTCCCAACTCCTTCAGGCAAGAACCAGCGCTCCACCCCTACGTCTCCTAAGGGACCCCTATCACCCAACACCCAGCCCCTCCTCGCCAGGACCCTTGGTCGCCGTCTGCCCACGACCACACCCACCTCACTTCCGCCCTCCCTTTTCTGGGCCTAAGAGCCTCATCACCTCCTGTAGCAGCTCACTGTAATCGTCCCAGGAGCAGCTGCCAGGTCCCTCCTCTTCTGCCTCTTCCTCTTCCTCCTCTGCCGCCAGGCTCTTCTCCACCTCATTCCCGTTCCCCTCTTCCAAGTCCAGCCGCAGACTGGACCCCAGCCGTGTGGCCATCTCCAACCCATCTCCCATCCCTGAGTGGCTCTCGGGCCTTGGGGACTCAACGCCAAGTGGGTCCGGTAGCTGCTCATTGTCACAGTGTTGGTCTGGGCCCTCTGGGTCCTCAGGTGCCTGAGTCATCAACACAGGGAGGTCCTGCTCAGAGCTGACGTCCCCAGCACCAACATTTCCAGGTTCTTCTGGGGGCCCGCCAGCTGGAGGGTCTCCCTTGAGCCCTAGGGTTGAGGGTGGTACCCCTTTCTCTTGCCTGCGCAGCACTCGGGGCACATACAAAGCCTGGTCCGGTTTGCGTCCACGATGCCACCGGCCAGCCCGCGCCCCTCGAGGACCCACAGGTGCTCCTTGGTTTGAGGTGGGCCGGGGACCTCGGTACTTGCTAAGCTGGGAGGCAGGAGGGTGGCCGGGGCCAGAGAGTCCATCTGAACTGGGTAACCTGGAGCAGGAACAGGAAGTGTGATCAGAGCAGTGTTTAGGACAACGGTTTACTGGCGCTACCTGCCATTCAGGCGTGAGGCTCTCGAGTCAGCGTTAGGGCAAAACCAACGCCAATGACCCCTGGAAATACCACAGGGAAAGCGCTGGAGAGGAAGCTGAAAGCCACGTTTGAAGAAGAAACACCAGCTCTCCCCTCCGGTGTCATAAACTATGCTGGAGATACCGGAATCTTCAGGTATACACTAGATAAAAGTAAGTACTTGCATTTAGGAACTTGGTTATTAGAATAATATAAAATGTTGGGGGCATCTAGGTGGCTCAGTCGGTTAACTGTCCAACTCTTGACTTCTGCTCAGTGATCTCAGGGTCAAGATCTCAGGGTTATGGGATCAAGCCTGACATCGGGCTCTGTGCTGAGCACGGAACCTGCTTAAGATTCTCTCTCCCTCTCTCACTACCCCTTCTCTCTCTAATAAAGAAAGAAAAATACGTAACTTTAAACACTAGGATCATAGTGGTTATAATGAGATCCTGTGAGATGCACACATAATAGACATGCGTGAGGCTCGAGTGTGCTTCTCACACTCCACGGCCTCTCAGAGCAGATGCTCTCACTGCTTCAACTGCTCTATTTTTCACTCTTTCGGCCCAAGCATATAGCTGAATTTGCTGAATGAATCCCACAAACAATGCACGCCTACCCCGCTGCTGAAACAGAAGGCGGGCCCTGACCTGAAGCAGCTGAGGCGGGGACAGAAGCAGCAGCCTGGAGGCTGCGGGCCCTGGTTCCTGACCAGCTTACCCACCAACCCACAGGGAGCTGCTGAGGGCCCCCCACGGCACTAAGATACACACCTGATATCCAAGTGACAGATGACTGTCCTTCTCCTCCAGCCCTCCCCAACGGAGAAGCTGCTCAGAAGATCAAAATTCTCTGCTGTCCTGTGGATCAGGTACCGCAGGCGACTGGAGAGTGGGGGGAAAAGAAGCACCCTGGGAAGGGATGGGAACGAGTGCTGAGCTGGGGCCGAGGGCCTGACCCCCGCCGGGTCCACGCCCAGCTCCCAGCTTGACACTAGGCCCCTCTGCCCCCCTGCATCCCTGGCCAGCTGCAAGGAGGTTATCACAGGGAGTTACTGGTACCATTCCACTCTTGTGCTGACACCCTTCAATCTCTGGGTGATGCTCAGAATTACACAGGAAAGATGTGGCTGGGAGAGGCTACAGAGGAGGTTATTAAACCCAAAGGCCAAGGCCAGACGCAGGGAGGAACGAACTACTTGGGAAGGGGGCACAGGCGGCTCCCCGTGAACCCACTCTTCCCAAACAGGCAGCCGTCCCCCCGCCCCCGCCCCAGCTTACTTTGACAGCTGCTTCTGCAGCAGAAAGCGGTCCAGTTCCTCCTGGATACGGTGCACAAAGTCATTCTCGGCGGAGGAGAGGAAGACGCCGTCCAAGCAGAGAAGGGCCAGGGTGACAGGTGGGAGAGCCTGCGGGGCGGACGGGACCCGGTGGATCAGAGCACAGACCCCGGGCCCACCCACAACCCTGAGTGGCGGTGCCGACGGGTCTTAGAGGAACCGCGGCCAAGGTCTCTCCTCTGACAAAAAAGCAGCCAGGCTCCGAGGAGGGTGGAAGGAAGTGCCGAGGGTCTCCGGGCAAGTCGAGGCCAGGGCAGCGACTCCTGGCCCTGCGGGAGGCGCACCCCTGCACGCCAAGGCTCACGCTGCCTCGCGCTCCCCGGGCCGGGCCAGGGAAACCGCGAAGCGCCTCGGGGGCCTGTTCGGCGGGCGCGGCCAGCCCTCCCCAGTCCCCGAACGGGAGGCCTAGGGGGGTCGGGGTTGGCGACCCACCCCCCAGGCCCGCACGCCGCACTCACCGCCGCTGCCCCGCGCGTCGCTGCCGCCGCTCTGAGGGTCCCCGGAAGCCCGCGAGCCCTGGCGCGCCCCGCATCACCCGGCCTCTGCGGAACCACAGCGCCACCGCGCGGCCCGGGGGAGGCACCGCAGAAATGGCAGAGAGGCGTGTTCGGGATTTTTTTTTTTTTTTTCCCCATGAGAGCACACTGTCTCTTAGTATTAAGTTCAGCAAACACTTTTGAGTGGCTCCTACGCGCAAGGTCGTGGAGTACCAGATTTCCCGGCTGAACTCCCCTTCCGAGGCACCTAACAGAGGAATAAGGAGGAAGGAAGTCTCTGGGCACCAAATATTTCACCACCTCTTGCCCATCCCTTCCCTTCTTTTGCCCTCATTGAGGGAATCTTCACAGAAGTCCAGCTGGACGCCAAGGGGTCACTGACAAGGTGTATCAGCCTTGTGGGTAACTGGGCGAAGTAGGCACTAGCATGGTGACTTGACGGCCATCAAATTATACTACCCTTCTACATCCACATCTACATCCAGCACCCACCTTAACTGGGGCTTGAAATTCTCGCCATCAGACAGCTCCTCCTGGCTGTTATCATCTAGAAGACCAGAGCTGAAATCCTCCTGTGTCCTGAGAGGTGCTGAAATGTAAGCCCGTGATCATCCTGAATCCAGAAGCTCAGAGCAAAGCAAGGCCCTGAGTTAAAAACACTTAAGACCCAGGTTTCCTACAGAGATGGGACCGTCTGAACATGCCCTGCAGTCAGATATGGGCAAGGTTATGGGGACAGCATAGCTCAAAGGTGGGCTGGGAGGAGAGGCCTGGAACAGAAAAATGGAGAAAAATTAAGATGCATTTTGCTTTCTCACAGTTTTTCTCAGAGAATTTCTTAAGAAGATGGTGGTATTATATTACATTTACAAAAACAATGCTTCTAGGGGGTGCCTGGGTGGCTTAGTGGGTTAAGCCTCTGCCTTCGGCTCGAGTCACGATCTCAGGATCCTGGGATCGAGCCCCGCATCAGGCTCTCTGCTCCGCAGGGAGCCTGCTTCCCCTCTCTCTCTGCCTGCCTGCCTCTCCGCCTACTTGTGATCTCTCTCTCTGTCAAGTAAACAAATAAAATCTTTTTAAAAAAATGATGTTTCTAGATAGTTGGGAGAATAAAAAGGGCCTAGAATAAAGACAAAACACAGTGCAGGGAGAACTCAAGGGAGCCAGGTCATGAGTCTCTTTTCTGGGTATGGTCGTGAGGAGCTTCTGAAGACCTGACAGATCCTCTTGCCCAGCCTGGAGGGGCTTGCAGTCCCCGAGAGGGCAGAGGATGGGAGACTGGCAGGAAGAATGAGAGACACCCTTTGGGTTTCTGACCCCACCAGGCGTACCCACACTCCACACGGGCTTGAATGAAGCCAGAGCAGGCCCGGAGAGAACGCTGAGTGGCCACACGATGGCACTGTTTCTCTGACCAGGCTCCCTCGCCTGGGTGGCGTGAGGCTGGGAGGCAAGCCCATTTAGCCACAGCTAGAGACCAGACCTTACCTGGGAGGAATATGCCTGGGGACTCAGAAAACAAAGGCCCAACTTTCTCAACAAACTGGTCATCTCTCCCCAAAACAGAGGGACAAATCAAAAACCCCAGAAACAAGCCATGCCCCCACCTCTTTAAAGCTGGTCTGCAGTACAGAGCCTCCACCATGGGTGGACCTCCTGAAGGGATGCTTCCAGAAATGCGGAAGGGAGTCAAAGTGCTTCTACCCACACTATTTTGGGACAGTATCAGGTGAGGATAAAATGGGCCCTATTACTCAGAGGGGAGTGAACAGAACAAAAAGCACAAAGGATAGACGGAATTTCTACAGAAAAAAAAAAAAAAGGATGAGCACACAGCAGGAAAAAGAGCAGAGCGGAGCATAGGCGGTAAGAGGATATTGGATGATTCCCTTGAGAAAAGAGAATATAATTTCAGTTAATAACTGCTTCACATTCCCAAGGAAATCAAAGAAAGACTGATTTCCACGCCATGGCGGATAAACCAACAGATTGAGATGAAAAAGAACTGTCAGAGCCTTGGAAAGATGTAAAAGAGACAATCACGTTCATCGCAGAAGCAGCGAAAACTAGAGGCAACACGGCAGCGCCGCAGAGTAAACGCTGGTGGGAAAGAAGATGACTATTTACAGAAAGCTTGCCAGTTAACTCCTCACAGCAGCTCTTTCAGATGGAGATTGGGAGCCTATTGTACAGGAGGAAACTCAGGTTTAGCCAAGGACACGCAACTACTAAGTGTGGAGTTGGAACCCACTCAAAATCTAGTTCTAGCCTGACTGCCACACCCATGCTCCCAAACACCACGGGATTAAGATTCTCCATCTTGAGAATGTCATCAGACTCATCTTGGTGGCCTGGAGCCAGATGCAGAAATCAGGAATGAAATAAGTTCGATGAATCCATCAGTTGAAGAAGCATGCTCGTGTATGCTATAGAATGTTTCCCATAACAGGAGGTGTGATTGGAAGATTATGAAAATTATGAATGCAGGGGACGCGGGGTCCCAAACAGTCCTATATGGAGAGATGGACCCAGAGTTCCCTGCTGCAGTAGTGTGCTCTTTGTGTTTAAGGTGACATTTAAGAATATCCAGTTTATGGGCACCTGGGTGACTCAGTTGGTTAAGCCACTGCCTCAGGCTCAGGTCGTGATCCCAGAGTCCCGAGATCAAGAACCACATCCGGCTCCCAGCTCCACGGGGAGTCTGCTTCTCCCTCTGACTTACTCCCTTCTTGGGCTCGCTCTCTCTCTCAAATAAATAAATAAAATCTTAAAAAAAAAAAGAATATCAATCAAAAGTCCTTGTAATGTTGGCATACATAGTTCGGCATATTGGAGAATCTCACATATGACGTGGTGATTCCAATTTAAAAAGTGAAATGGATCTCAGACTTACAATTTTAAAATGGGCAGATGTAACGATGTGGAGAACAAAGACCAAAGAAATGTAGATAAATTTAAATTTCCATGCAACTTGCAGCCCGTTGACAAATACTTGAGACAGGCAGAGTAAGACATTCCTCCAGGAGTTCATAACTGTCTTAATGCTCTGCTAGAGGCTTGACAGTAGCTCAGGTCTCCAGGATCCTAGAAGTCTTCTTTAGCATATGAAAATCCTTTTGGAAACTTCTTCTGTCTTTACTTCTCACCCTTAACTTAGAAGTATAATCAGGGCACCTGGGCAGTTCAGTCAGTTAAGCGGCTGCCTTCAACTTAGGTCATGATCCTAGGGTCCTGGGACCAAGCTTGGCATCAGGCTCCCTGCTCAGTGGGGAGCCTGTTTCTCCCTCTGCCTCTGCCTGCTCCCCCACCTGCTTGTGCTCTTGCTCTCTGTCAAATAAATAAATAAAATCTTTTTTTTTTTTTTAAAGTATATAATCAACAGCTCCTCATAATCCCAGTATAGCTCTTCCTGCCCACAAGTCCTGTCCTGGTGCTTTAATAAAAACACCCTTTTGCACCAAAAGCATCTCAAAAATTTCCTTCTTGACCATTTGCTCCAGGCCCACATCACATCACTTTTTGACCCACATTTGACTAAGTTGGTAAACAGTATTATAATATTAAAGAGAGCTAGATTTACAATATTTTAAGATCAACAAGAGTTGTTTAAGTACAAGACAGAAAAATGTTTTGCTTTATAGCCCACAAGGTCATCAATTTTATATGCATAAAAAAGTGAGGATTTCTGGAATATAGAGTAAACATACTTTTCCCTATTCCTCCTACTAAATATAACTAAAAACCCTGGACATTATATATAAAACAAACATAAGGAGACTGAAAGGCAGAGAGAAGGCAGACCAGCTAGGGATCTCAGGATTCAAGGAAAAAACAAAATGGTATATTTCCTGGGTTTTCTTTATGCCTCAAATTCCCAGACTTCAACCTTGAAGCCAGCAATCCAGAAACATCAAAAGACACAGACAAACAAAACAAAAACCTAACAAAAGCCTTTTTTCACTCAGCCAAAGGGGCAGGCTAGCCAGAAAGAAAACTTTAGGATAATAATTGTTCTACCACAGCCAAACATTGTTCTCACTCAAAACAGCAAAACATAATAGGAGCCTAGATTGCCAGCTTCATCAGCTTGTAATAAAGCACCACAACCTTCCCACCAAGACAATGTCAGAGAAAGTCCAGTAGGGAATTGGGACTTTCATGCTCTCCAGGCAGTAATGAGCCCTGGCCCCTGCCTACAGTGTCAGTAGACACCACTAGAGAACCTAACTTCCATCACCACCCAGCAGTAATGAAAAGTCTCCACCTTGGGTGTCAATGGCAGATTTATGGGAAGCCTGGATTTTAGAACCTGTCTGGCAGTAAAAAGATGCCCCCCATGCCCCTGATAGAATGGTGTCAGAAAGAGACAGCTAAAACAGAGATATCACTAAGATCCAGAATCTCATAATATAACGTAACACCCAAGATGTCCATAATTCAATCAGAAATAACTTGTGATACCAAATACTAAGGAAGACCTCAGACTCCATGGGAAAAAGGCAATGAATACAAATACTAAGATGCCAGAAATGTTACATTATCTGACAAAGATTTTATAAAGTAGCCAAGAAGAAGTACTTCAACAGGGGCACCTGGGTAGCTCAGTCAGTTAAGCATCTGCCTGCAGCTTAGGTCGTGATCCCAGGGTCCTGGGATTAACTCCCATATCAGGCTCCCTGCTCAGAAGGGAGTCTGCTTTTCCCTCTCTCTCCACCCCTCCTCACTCCTCACTTGTGCTCTCTTTCCCTCTCTCAAAAATAAGTAAATCAATCAATAAATAAAATCTTAAAAAATATATATAAAAGAAAGAAAGAAATGATTCAACAAGCAATTGTGAATGCACTTGAACAAATGAAAAAAGAAGTCTCAGCTAAGGCATAGAACATGTAACAAAGCACCAAAAGGAAATTTTAGAATTGAAAAATACAATAATGATGGGGCGCCTGGGTGGCTCAGTGGGTTAAGCCTCTGCCTTCGGCTCAGGTCATGGTCCCAGGGTCCTGGGATCGAGCCCCGCATCGGGCTCTCTGCTCAGGGGGGAGCCTGCTTCCCTTCCTCTCTCTCTCTGCCTGCCTCTCTGCCTACTTGTGATCTCTCTCTGTCAAATAAATAAATAAAATCTTTTAAAAAAAATACAATAATGAAAATAAAAAACAGTGTAGAATGGAAGAGGAAAAGGAAAGAACCTATGAACTAGAAGATAAAACAATAAAAATGACCCAATCTGAACAACAGAGAGTAAAAAGACCTGGGATTGAGCCCCATATCAGGCCCCCTGCTTGGCAGGGAGCTTGCTTCTTCCTCTCCAGCTCTCCCATGTTTATGTTCCCTCTCTCACTATCTCTCACTGTAATAAATAAATAAATAAAATCTTAAAAAAAAAAAAAGACTGAAAACAAAATGAACAGAGACTAGGGATCTGTGAGATGTTAACAAAACAATTTTACATTCATTTTATCAGAGTCCCAGGGAGGAGAGAGAGTGAGGTGGAAAAAGTGGTCAAAACAATTGCTGAAAACTTCTGAAATTTGGGAAAAAATCCACTTGGAAATTCATGAAGGGTCAATTTACCAAGAAAACATAACAATCAAATTTGAAGAAGAAATCAAGACAATCTCAGATAAAGGAAGAGTAAGAGAATTTGTTGCCAGGAGACCTAGTCTAAAAGAATAACTAAAAGAAGTTCTCTAAATAGAAAAGAAACAATAAAAGAAAGAATCTTAGAACATTAAGATGGAGAAAAGAACACAGTAAACATAAATGTAAGTAATACAATAGACTTGGTTTCTCTTCTTAAATCTTCTAAATTGTGCTTGATGGCTAAAGCAAAAATTATAACTATCTAGTGCAAATATTTAAGACAATTTATTGTAATTTATTATAATTTATTATAAGTGGAAGAGGTTAAAAGGACACAAAGGGAATTAAGATTTCTATACTTTACTCTATTTGGTAAACTGAGAACACCAGAAGACTGTGATACCTAAAGTAGCCATTTAAAAAAGCTATATAAAGAGACATTTTAAAAATACTATGGGTAAATCAAAGGAAATTCTAAAAAATGTTCAAGTAACCCATAGAAAGGCAGGAAAAAAAAAAAACCAGAAATGAAAAACAAAGAAAGCAGGATGCCTGGGTGGCTCAGTCGGTTAAGTATCTAATCTTGATTTTTGGCTCAGGTCATAATCTCAGGGTTGTGAGACTGAGCCCCACATTGGGCTCCACACTGGGCATGGAACCTGCTTAAGATTCTTTCTCCCCATTTCCCTCTGTCCCCTACCCCCTAAACACACACACACACACACACACACACACACACACACACACACAGAAAGCATAGTAAAATAGCAGACTTAGACTCTAAAATATTACTAATTACACTAAATATAAATGTTCTAAATACACCAATTGAAAAGACAGATTGTCAAAGTCAATTTAGAACCACAGGTATATGCTATCTGCAAGAAGCTTACTTCAAATAGAAAAAATATAGGCAGGTTGAAAGTAAAAGGATGGAAAAAGATCTGTCATGCAAACACTAATCGAAGGAAGGCAGGTGTGGCTATATTAATTTCAGATAAGGTAGAATTCAGAGCAAAGAAATTAGCTGAGAGAGAGACGGACATCATATAATGACAAAAGCATCAATTTACCAAGAAGACATAGCAATCCTAATGTGTAAGTGCAAAAGAAAAGAACTGCAAAATATGTAAAGCAAAAACTCATAGAACTGAAAGGAGAAATAACAAGGCCCACAATTATAATTAGAGATTTTGACATCTCTCTTTCAACAACTGATAGAATAACTAAACAGAAAAGCAGCAAAAATATAGATTAATTCAACAATACCATTAATCAACAGGATCTAATCAACATGTGTGGCACCTGGCTGGCTCAGTTGATAGAAGAACATGTGATTCTTGATCTCAGAGTTGTGGTTTCAAGCCCCACATTGGGTACAGAGTCTACTTAAAAAACAAATGAGTGAAATAAAATAAAATAAATAAAACAGGATCTAATCAACATGTGTAGAATACTCTACCCAACAACAGCAGAATACACCTTCATTTTAAGTACCCATGGAACATAGTCAAAGATAGACAATTTCCTAGACCACAAAACAAACCTCAACAAATTTAAAAGAATTTAAGTCATATGTTATCTGTTTTCTGACCACAATGAACTCAAACTAGCAATAAGTAACAGAAAGATAGCAGGAAAATCTCCAACCATTTGGAAACTAAAAAAATATGCTGGGTCAAAAAGGAAATTAAAAAACACATGGGTCAAAAAGGAAATCCTAGGGAAATTTAAAAATACATTGAACAGAATGAAAATGAATAGAACATATCAATATTTGTGGAAAACAAAAAATTAAATGCAACCATTAACTTAAAAAAATTAAAATGCAACCATATTTTGTTAAAACAAAGGAAAACATGAAGCTATAAAATGGCTTGCCATTTTATAGATAGACAGACAGACAGATACAGATCATGGCAAGATTCTTTCCTCTGGGCAATAAAAAAAGACAAATAGAAGATTGAGGTGGAATACAAAGGGAAAAATCAAGTGGCTGCAGATTTCCCCAGCAACTCATATGCCACAGGAAAAGGGAACACATCTGTGGATGTTTAAAGGGGAAGTGTTAAGAGCACAAAAATCTATAAATCGCGATGGCAGCTGGAAGATGTTTCCAAACTTGCAATGACTTTGTAAGTCTTTCTCGTAGAAATTCCGCTGGGGGAAATGGAGAGGTCCTGGCCTGTCTATGGTGGAGATGCCAGGACATTGGCAGACACTGTTGATAGACACCCTGTCTGTGTCCTGCATAGCTTAAGTCTCAAGACTTCTGGAAAATCCACAAATAACTGAAATTATTTTCTCTAATGACCTAGTCAATCTATTCCAGAATAGATGGCCTGACCAATCTCTTTGATAGCTGTGAGCTAAATAACCCTAATTAGAAAAACAAAATTCACTCTTTGTAGACTAGCACCTTGCCCCCCCTTGCCTTCTTCCTTGCCTTTTCCTTATGTAAGTCCTTTTTTTGGTTTTCTTTTCTTTTTTTTTTTTTTGTCTTTGTTCACCTATAAGAATCTAATGCCTGTCCTTGGTGTTCTTGTGAGTTAGTTACACAACTCACTAAAGGATGTTTCTTTTTTTTCCCCTTTTTAAATTTATTTATTAATTATTTTTATTAACATTTAATGTATTATTTGCCCCAGGGCTACAGGTCTGTGAATCGTCCGGCTTACACACTTCATAGCACTCACCATAGCACATGCCCTCCCCAATGTCCATAAATAAATGATGTTTCTAAGCTTTGCCTTGAGATTCATTATCCTTCCTGGGAAGCGACTAAGACATAATGCAGGGGGCGCCTGGATGGCTCAGTGGGTTAAGCCGCTGCCTTCAGCTCAGGTCATGATTTTAGGGTCCTGGGATGGAGATCCACTTCGGGGGGGGGGGGGTCTCTGCTCAGCAGGGAGCCTGCTTTCCCCATTCTCTCTGCCTGCTGTTCTGCCTACTTGTGATCCCTCTCTCTCTGTCAAATAAATAAATAAAATCTTAAAAAAAAAAAAAGACATAATGCAGACAACCAAGGGATGAATAAAAATAAATGACTTACAAATTGGGATATCATGAGAGAGAATGCTTCATGATGAACATTTAATTTGCTTAAACGTTTAGTTAAGTGAAATAATCACAGCAAGAAAATGGTATACAAATATCGTAATTCTTGAAAGAAGAGTTACAGAATGTAAAAAAATGTTTTTTATCACAACAGACTAGGACGGGAACCCCCAAATGCATTCTACAGTGTGGAGGAAGGAGGAAGGGCGTATAACTGTGGCATTCAATACGTAATAGTTTTTCCAAGTAACTGGCAGAGACTGGGGACATTAGTTAACAAAGAAGACTGAACTTATAGCAAAATATGGCCAAAAATATAATACAAGGGGAGGGGGTAAGAAAGCTTAAAGAATGGACAAAAAAGAGGTGATGGAAGTAATATTAAATAAAGCCTTGGCAAAAAAAAAAAAAAAACAAAAACCAAAAAACATATATGGTGGTCTCCCTGATATGAGGAAGTTGAGAGGCAACGTAGGAGGTTTGGGGGATAGGAAAGGAATAAATGAAACAAAATGGAATCGAGGGAGACAAACTACAAAAGACTCTTAATCTCACAAAACAAACTGAGGGTTGTTGGGGGGGCGTGGGGGGTGGTGGTGGTGGTAGGGAGAGGGTGGTTGGGTTATGGACATTGGGGAGGGTATGTGCTATGGTGATTGTTGTGAAATGTGTAAACCTGGCGATTCACAGACCTGTACCCTTGGGGCTAATAATTCATTATATGCCAACTAAAAAAAATTAAAAAATTTTTAAAAACCATATATGGGATAGATTCCATTATATTATGCACATTAAAATTGATTCAAAGAGCAAAATATCATTCTATGTTCTTTACCAAACTCACACCTAGGACAACTGTATGCAAATTTATTTAAGGATCTCAATAAAATAGTCAAAACACCACATGGAACTTAATGGGAAACACTAGGAATACCACATTAATTTCAGAGCAAGCCAGGGATATTCACCAATTCCTTTTGTTGTCATTCCTGCTGTTGTTGTTAAAATTTTATTTATTATTGGGGCGCCTGGGTGGCTCAGTGGGTTAAAGCCTCTGCCTTCGGCTCAAGTCATGATCCCAGAGTTCTGGGATCGAGCCCCAAATTGGGCTCTCTGCTCGGTGAGGAGCCTGCTTCCCCCTCTCTCTCTGCCTGCCTCTCCGCCTACTTGAGATCTCTGTCTGTCAAATAAACAAATCATCTTAAAACAAACAAACAAAACAGATTTTATTTATTTTTAAAGTAATCTCCACACCCAACATGGGGTTGGAACTCACAACCCTGAAAGATCAAGAGTCCCATGCTCTACAGATTAAGCCAGCCAGGCACCCTTCACCAACGCCTTTTTTACCATTTTTTTCTAGGGGTCCTAGCAAAAGCAATTTGGACATAAGAAAGAAAACTGGAAAGGTTGGAAATCTAATGAGATCCAACAAAAATCATCATTTGCAGAGTATTTTTTTCCCATAGAAAATTTCAAGATCCACTAAGAAAGTCTTAATAAGCAGGAACTGTCTCCAGAAATGAAGACCATTTGGAGCAGAGGAAGTGGGAATGCTAACAGAAGGACAGAGAAAGGCAGGGGTGGGGAGGCTGGAGAGAAAGGACAGAGAGACCCACCCTTAGACCCTGCTCTACCTGATAGGCCTCCAGGTAGCCATCCCCTGCTGTGGAGGGTCCCCAACCCAGCCCCAAACTCTGAAACTGTTTGTTGTCCTTCCGTTGCTAGGAGACCACTTGTCGGGCTAGCCCAAGTTCTAGCTCCCTTCTTAAAGGGCCAGGGTAACAGGAACCTCAATGGGGAATGGGGGGGAGGGTGTGTCTCACTGGTGGGCTGCGGGACTCAGGCCCGTCATCATTTCAGCCTCCAAGCTCTTGCCAGGGACTCCTTAGGAAGACTGACTGCTAGTGTTTGCACAGCCCCCCAAACCCAGATCTGTTTTCCCCAGTTCAAATGCTACTTCACAACAGCCCCTATAGCAGCCATGGGCCTTAAAGGACAGGAGGAAAGAATGGAAGCTAAGACTTTGTAATGGCAGGGGTGCCTGGGTGGCTCAGTGGGTTAAAGCCTCTGCCTTTGGCTCATGTCATGATCCCAGGGTCCTGGGATCGAGCCCCGCATCGGGCTCTCTGCTCAGTGGGGAGCCTGCTTCCTCCTCCCTTTCTGCCTACTTGTAATCTCTGCCTGTCAAATAAATAAATAAAATCTTAAAAAAAAAAAAAAAGACTTTGTAATGGCATAGGAAGTGCCCATGCTTAAAAGTTCAGTGAAAGAACATGGCACAAAATTGATGTCCTCAATTTAGGAAAAAACAACAGAAAAAAAATATATGGAAATAAAACATACTAAAATGTGGGCAGTGGTTGTCCCTGAGCGGTTTTATTATGAGTTGTTTTCTTCTGTAGACTCCTAAACCCTTCATGCAAATTTTCTAAAATATATCAGTAGAATATGTGTATTTCCACAGTATATGTATAAACACATGCTATTTTTATAAGCAGAGAAAAGACATTTATTTTTCGATCTTCCCAACCATTCAAAGTAACACTAAGCAAAATTTTTTAAAACTTAACTGAGCAAACATTTTTAAAACGACCTTCCCTTGACTGCAAAATCCACAGACTTCCAGTTCTTCCCAATGTAGTCAGCTTGGGCAGGATCTCACTTACATGAGCTAAGGCAGCGGGAAAGTCTTTGGCTCAGCAGCCTCATTTACTGGGCTCCCACAGCGGGTTTCGCACTTTCCATACGTTATCCCGTGTCATCCCCACTGAAATACCGAGTAGTGGTTATCACTCCCACTTTACAGACATAAAACTGGGCCCCCAGCATTCAGTCCATGGCCCATCCCATTGCTCTGCTACAAGAAAGCAAAGCCAGGATTCAAATCCAGAAGAATGGACTCAGTCTGTGCTCTGTCCCCTATTCTAGTAATTTCCCAACACCTTCTAGCTGTGGAGCCCTCAGTTCAAACAAATGCCTGATGTGTTAGTTTGCCACGGCACAAAGTACTTCAGACTGTGTGGCTTTAACACACTTTTGGTTTTTTCCCCCTGCAGTTCCAGGAGCTGGAAGTCCAAGATCAAGGTGCTAGCCGGGTTGGTTTTCCTCTGAGACCTCTCTCTTTGGCTTGCAATGTGGCTGGTCTCTGGCTTCTTCACCTGGTTGTCCATCTGTGCACATAGGCCCCCGGTGTCTCTTTGTACGTCCAGATGTCATCTTAGAAGGACATAAGCCACACCAGATTAGGGCCTCCCCCAAGAGACTCATTTTCATTTACTCACCACTTTAAAGGCCCTGCATCCAAATACAGTAACATGCTGGTTAGGCCTTCAACACGGGAATTTTGAGTGAACACAATTCAGCGCATAACGTCTGGACTCTAAGATGTGGGTGTGAACTGTCTGGGCTCAAGCTGGGCTGGGAGGCCTGGAGCCCAGCTCCACCCATTCACTCCCTAATACCCCTTTATGGGCTCAAGGAAGAATAATTAGGAAGTCACTCCTTTCTACGACTTTGGAAAAAGAAAATATTCAAAGAAACTCAGCAAAATGAAACTCTGCATGTGAGCCATTTCTGTGAAAATACAGACAGAGCCATCAGCTGACTGTGAAGACCGCCATATTTCATCTAGTATGTTCCTCATTGTCCCTCTGTTCTGGCCAGAAAAAATGGATTATTTTTTTCCTTACCCAGTTCACAAACTGCTTTCTGCACCCCAAGAGGTACTAAACTTTGTCCTTATATATGTATATTCAAAGATGAAATATTGAGCATTTTGATTTCATAATCAGCATATTGGATACCTGGGGAGTGGCTCATTTATAAGTATCTTCCTCCCCTAGACAACAAAATTATTTTTGTTAACACTCACATACTAATCGGTAATAATCATTATTGTCTTGATTCGTTCGTTAGCTTAGCAACAATTCCCATTTAAAAAAGGATAAACTTCAATTTAAGGATATTCAAATCTGGTAAAATATATCATGCATGAACTAAAATTTGCAATTACCAAACAAAAATACACCAAACACTTTGTATTCTTTCAGTGTTTTAAATTCTAGACACAAGTAAAACTCCAAGTGGTCATAATTAAAATGACATAATTACCGTAACTCATGCTCTTTCTTTTGTATTTACAATTGCTATGCTATCCTGGTTGATTTTGAATCTACTGTTTAAACACAGGAATTTGTATTATCATAATGATTGAAGACATGAACTGTACCTAAAATGAGTTTTAAAGATTCTAAGCTATTAAAAACTTACTTTTTTAAAAAAAGATTTATTGTAGCGAGTGCTTGTGTCTGTGTGGCCATAGGGGCCTGGGCGGGGGGCAGAGGCGGGGGCGGGGGAGGGGTGTAGGAGGCTGGGGCTGAGGGAGAGGGAGAGAGAGAATCCTTGCTGAGCACTGAGGTCACTCTCAGGACCCTGAGATCATGACCTGAGTGGAAGAGTCAGTCGCTCACCTGACTGGGCCACCCAGACACCCTAAGAACTTACTTTCAAAACAAATATGTAGCAGCTCACTATATCACTGTGAACTCCCTGAATTAGCTTCCAAGTATAAGTTTTACTGAAGATAATAATAAATATGTTCCCTTTGAAGCTTACATAACCACAGTCATTATTCCGAACTGAGACCAATAAATTATTTTTTCAGAAAAGTATTTATTACCCACTAGAACTGCCAGCACATGGTGATAATAAAAACAGACCGGGTTTTATTGTTTGCATCCTATCCGTTGAAAATGCATCCCCTTGGGCCCACACCTGAAGTCGAAGGCTCCCTCTGCTGGTGGAATCGGGGTAGAGGTCAAGTTGGAGTAGAAGTCAGGAGTTCACCAGAAGGCAAAGGGTAGGGGCACTCTGGGTGGCTCAGGCGGTTAGGCGTCTGCCTTCTGCTCAGGTCGTGATCCCAGAGTCCGGGAATGGAGCTCGACATCGGGCCCCCTGCTCAGCGGGAAGTCTGCTTCTCTCTCTGCCTCAATAAGAAAGACATGAAAGGGCAGAATCAATAGAACTTGCTGGTTCTCTTTCGGTTTTCAAGACAGTACAGGTTTCTGGCTTCCTCCCTCCTGTTACTCTTCTGGGCTCCACTTCTCCTAGTCTCTGGAAGCTAGAATGCCTCAGGGCTCTGTCTAGGACCAAGCCTCAAGTTTATTCCTCCCCTGGTTTCCACGTCTCAGCAAGTGGAGCAGCAGCTACCCTCTTATTCAAGGCCAGTCATCTCTTATCCTCCCTTTCCTTCCCACCTGACCCCAAGCCCTTGGGAACCTGCAGGGACTGTGTCCCATGTACCTCTGCAAACTGGCCTCTTCTGACACCCACCTTCTAATCCTGTTGTGTCCCTCCAAATTCCATGTCGAAGTCCTAGCCCTTGAAACCTCAGTATGTGACTGCATTTGGAGCTGGGGCTTTTTTTCTTTTTTAAGATTTTATTTGACAGAGAGAGAGACACAGCGAGAGGGAACACAAGCAGGGAGAGTGGGAGAGGGAGAAGCAGGCTTCCCGCTGAGCAGGGAGCCCGATGCAATGTGGGACTCGATCCTAGGACCCCGGGATCATGACCCAAGCGGAGGGCAGACGCCTAACCGCCTGAGCCACCCAGGTGCCCCATGGAGCTATGGCTTTTAAAGATGTGCTTCAGTTAAAATCTGTAGGGTCGGCCCTAATTGAATATGCTGGTGCCCTTAGAAGAGGACATCTGGACACAGACACTTCACTAGGTTAAGGAAATTTCCTGCTAATCTCTAGTTTATTCACTTTATTAAATCATAGATGAGTGTGAAATTTTATCACATGCCTCTTCTGTGGCTATTGAAAATGTGGTGAGATCTACTTTAATCTGTTCATGTGGGTAGGCCTATCAGGAGCCCATATGGTAGCTTTGCGTGTCTTCCTTCAGGTAGACACAGCCCCATGCCAGGGCCCACAGCTTGGCAGCAAAGCTGGAACTGAATTTCAGCCCCCTTCAGCCCACACAGAGGCTATACCCTATGAGAAGTCTGGCTCCAGGCCAAAGCCTATGTGTGATGCTTCAGGCCTGACGGCTGGCAAGTGTGAAGGCTTTGCCTGGCAGCCCTCAGGGGGTGCGGGTGGGAGAGGGGAAGCTGCCTTCCTAAGAGACTTTGACGCCCAGCCTGTACATTGCCACCTGGAGGCAGCCACCATTGAGGACTCAGCTCCCGAGGCCTAGCCCAGCCAGGCTCTCACATATACCGGCAGTACCTACATTCCTCGCCCAGGAGTTTTCGCTGGGGGAGCAGCGGGGTCAGCTCAGACACTGGCAGATGCCTCTGCCTCTGGCCCTTCCCCCTACCCTCCCGCCGGTTTCCAGCTCCAACAAACAGTGAGGGCTTTTTGTTGGTTGCTCCCTGAGCCGTGAGGCGATTGCCTTCCCCACTTCACTGATTCAGCTAACCTTCACTCGCTGCTGTTCCGTGGAGGAAAACAGGGCTCCGGGGAAGCCAACATCCTTTCCTGTCGCCTCCTGCTTACACTACGTAAATAAAGGCCCGCCCGTGACTTCTGGTTGGGCCTCCTAGTCTTACTGGGTACTTGGACCGTGGGCAGCTCTGGGACAACGTACCCGACCGTATCTGGTGGCTTGGTGGCAAATGATATTAGATTTTCTGATATTCAATCACTCTTGAAAAATGACGATAAAGCAAAG